TGCTTGATTGGCCATTAAGAAAGCCATTTCTGCATCCATGGCAGTTGGCCCAAGATAGGTGCGGCTCTTTAACTGATAAGTCGGTATGAGTTTTCTATCTGCACCGCCAATCTCCCGACCAAAAAAGATTCTTTTTTCAACTATTGGCGGAAGCCCATTATTAGACCCATAATCATCAGTTTCCATAAGCCAAAACTTGTGATCCGGATTTTTCAAATCAACTCGACCCTGTAACATATCAAGCACCACAAACATCTATCAGTGGTTAAAAATTAAAATAACGCCACCCAAACAGCCATGTTCTTCAGTTTTCAAAACAAAAGGCATTGTGACAATGGAGAATTACAAAACAATCAAAAGCATCATTAAAGGAAAGCAAGAAAAATTACACAGGCAGCCACAGATTACCAATATATATATATATATATAATTGAATTTTTATGGTGCTGGAAGAAAAATTCCGGACACCATGCAGAGAACACGATAACTTGCACATTTCATGTTAGAACTTACTAACTTCAAATATTGAAGTTGTATAACTTACGACAGACTTGTGAATTTTAAAAGCGGTGAAGTTATAAAAGTTACAATAGACTAGTGAACAAGCACAATTGTCGGGAGTTCACCATAGAAGGACCCAAATGAAAATGTCCGGTAACTATATAACAAGTTTAAATAGCAAATTTCGACCCAAAAAAAAAAAAAGATGTGAATAAGAAACAATTCATACTAATAAATACACTTAAAAAGACTGCGCAAAATTGCATCCGGTATTCTACTCCTATCTGAACAAATATATATGTATATATATATATATATAACGAAAAATCATCAAAAGTGGGGAAAGAAAGAAGGGAAAACCTTGAAAGGGATGTAAGTGAGACTCTGCATGCGTTGATTTTGTTCCTGAAAGCTGAGGACCTTCCCAAAGCTATCGACATTGATCTTGAAAGTGCTTCCAGAATCCAAGTAGGGCAATTTCCGCTCCTCCGGATATCTCTTAACAGCCTCTTCCAATTCCTCGTAGCTGCTGCCTTCTCCCCAAAGCTCATACATTCCTTTCACAAGTATACCTAATACAATAACCCACAGAAAAAAAAAACGCTCCAATGAGTCGCAGAACAAATTGAAAGAAGAAACGGAAATGGAAAAACGGTAATTACTTCGGTTGGCGATTTTGCGAGCGATATCTTCGGAGGGGAGATTGACGAAGTGGAAAGGGGAATCTGAGTGGTGGTGCTGGGGAAGCCTCCATTCCAGGGAGTAATTGTCGTCGTCGGCGTCGAAAGTTCCGAAAAGGTGGGCGAGAGATTCGACCTCGGCTTTCCTGTAGTCCAACAATCTGTGGTAGAACACGCACAAGTACCACATCTTCTTCGATTCGATTCGATTCAATCGCTTGTTGTTCTCCTTCCGAAATCGCTGGAACGACAACTGATGACGGAACTCGAAGGAACTGAAATGCCAAGACTGATGTAAAACCCCAAAGCCTCACTAGCAGTGCGCTTTTTTGTGCTAGTACTTCTCGGTAAATAGTAAAAAATACGCCGATATGAAAAATTTTAAAAAGTATATAGGTTAATTTTTAGTTATAAAAATTAATAGTTTATAATTTTTTAAGTTATAGTTCATAATTAGATAAGTTATGAATAAATTTATTAAGTTATGATTGATAGTCAGATAAGTTATGGACAAAAATAGACAATAACTTGTCAAGTTATGGTTCATAACTAGTCAAGTTATGGACAAAAACAGTAATTTAACCTATTTATTAACTTATGTAAACTATTGACCTATTAATTTTAATTCATCTCAAATCTTGGCATATTTTCCTCTTTCTCCCGAGTTTCTATTGCACTAGTGTCTCCTTGTACACGCGCTTCCGCTCCATTCCATCTCGTATAATAACATTCCCAGCTACCTATTTCGTTATGTCTCCAAAATACAAGGAATAGGATTCAAGGTCTCGGAATCCGTACCGAGTAAATCAAAAGACATAAATCCATAAATAGGAATTTGTTAAGAACTCAGGATTAAGATCATCCTATATATGACTATCGGTAGACTCAATTAGAATTTCTATACTTAACAGAAATAATTAGAAATTCATATTGTGTCTGCGTCCATGTTTCACATAATCTCATTATGCGAAATACACTCATTCAATATCTCGCCATATTAACAGTGCGGATAACACTGTTCCATTTTAAATGGGAATGACATGTATTAATAATGTTTTAATTAAAGATTCTGAACTTTAATTAAATTCATTATGAACAATTACTTTTGATTATTATCCTTAAACATTATCCTCTCGTATACAACACTTATATACCATGTTTAAGGTTACATAAATAATCAAGAAATTTTATTTGATATTCATAAAATATTCATAAATATATGCACATAAAATGATGAATAAACTATTTTATTAAATAAATAATAAATATCTTTTTACATCTCATGCTTCTAGGACACTATTCCCAACAGAAGGCACGGGCATTAACTTGGCCAATCCTAACTCGATTGGCAATGGATATATTTTTTATCCTAGTCTCCACTGTTTCATCCGAACAAGCCTTCAGTATGACATGAAGAATACTTGAGGAACGCCAGAATGCATTGCAAAGGGATATTGTTGAAGCCTTGGTTTGCATTAAGGATTGGGATCGAGCCGATCAACGTTTACAGGATACAATTTCGCCGGCAAGCCAAGAATGAATTGATGAATTTAATCGATTAACATTTAATTTTGAAGACGATCCTTCAGCTTCAAATTAAATTGTAAATTTGTAATTTGTAAATATGTATTTACTTTTGACATTGTATTTGTAATTGTATAATTTTGTAAATTTGTAAAATATATAATTCGTCACAAAATGATTGCACTCTTTTTTCCTTGCCAAGTTTTTATCCCAATTGGGTTTTTATTGGTAAGGTTTTTAACGAGACAATCATGAATTATGAATTTAATACATCAATAATATACATGATTAATTTATTCAATTGTGTTAATAATGTCTATTGAATGTTGATTTTGAATTTACGTAATTTTAACACAAATTAACTTAATAATTATAAAAATTTTAAAATATTTTAAAAAAATTCGGGCAAATCAGGCGGGCTCGGGCGGCCTATTACAAGCTCGCGGCCCGTTCAAGGCGAAATTCGGGCTCGGGTAGGCGGCCCAAATTTTTCGGGCGGGTCGAGCTCGGGTAAAAACTCAATTTTTTCGGGTGGTCGCGGGCGGCTCATCCAAAGTTCCAGCACTAAGTGCAAGCCTAGCCTATCCGTAATTTCACCCATAATTTTTACTACCCATAATTCCACTACTATAAGTTCAAATCCCTCCGCCTCAAATTAAGAAAATAATAATATAAATTTTAAAAGGTTGGCAATGTTGTCTATGATATGCAAATACGATCATTTATCATAAAATTGCAACTTTATAACAATGTTCACTATTACAATAAACGAAATTGAACAACACTCTAATAATTAAGAAAACATTAGCGTAATAAGTTTATGACATTAAATAAGATTGAATAAGATTAGAAATTTAAAAGGGCTGGAAATATTTGCACACAATATACAGATGTGGTTATTATTATAAAGTATCAACAATTCATAATTATAATATACGCCAAAGACAAAATGAGAACATCATTTTTAAGAACAGACATAATAATTTTATGGAAGTAGATACATTTAAAAACAAGATTTTTAAAATAAATAATTTAGGTAATATCTATAACAACATAACATTGTTTAGCATACAATATAACACGTAAATGTAATTTTTTTAAACAATGTTATATGGCAATATGGTTCACAAATTTACATGTTAACTTTGAGATCCACTAGTCATAATATCAAGACCTGCATAATCTTACATATGAAATTAGGGCTGGTAATATGGGTCACGACACGACAACACGACTTGAAAACAACACGAATTTCGCGGGTTAGGGTTGAGAAAAAAGAGGTTCGGGTCGACCTGAAATTGACACGAAAAACACGGGTCAATTTCGGGTTGGACTCGCCTAACCTGAACACGACATGAAACTCGTAAAAAACAAAAAAAATACATATATTTTTCATTACATATTTTTTATTTTATTATGAACTTATAATATCATGATAGTTATACTTAAAATCTTATACTATAATTTACTTAATTTCAATGGATGTGATTGTATTTTAGTGTGTTATGAATTTTAAGTTATTTTTAATATGTAAAAAACTAAATAAAAATATACAATTTTCGTGTCAATTTCTGGTTCATGGGTCAATTTCATGTCGCGTGTCATTTTTGTGTCGTATCGTGTCGTGTCAATCCGTAAAGTGGTCGTGTTGTGTTTGTGTTGCGGTTTTTTAAAAATTAAGTGTCACGGGTCGTGTTCGGGTTGACTGTAAATTTAAAAAAAAACTGATCAAAACACGACGTGACACGAATTACCACCCCTATATGAAATGACCACCCTAACATAAAAAATTTTCATTTTTGGTAATGACTATTAAATTTATCAAAGTAGCTTTCAAAAAAATAAAAGTTTATTAAGGGCTCGTTGCTTTAAATCATGATTCTTAATTATGACTTTTAAAATTTTTTGTGAGAAAATAAGACTGTAACACTATAGGTTTATATTGTAGCGGAACTAAAATTATAAGTTTACAATGTAGCAGAACCCATATAACAAATATACATTAAAAACTTGTTTGATTCATACATTGAAATTTATAATTATTAATTTTAATATTTAAATTTTAAATTTTGTATGAGAACGAAAATATTATAACAGAATTAAAACTATAAACGGGCTTTAAAGTAGTATCGATATTTCAGATCCCGGTTGCCGCCCCCGCGGCGCGGCTTACAAGTCAGAGGCCCGCGTTTGTGCCAAAGCGGGCCAATAATAAAACGCGGGCCAAGTTGATATCCAACAATGACCCGTTGACCCGGTCACTGCCCTACCGATATACTACAAGTACCATCATCTTCTCTATTCTCCTTCCGCTTCGCCCCCAAAGTTTTATTTCGCCCCCAAAGTTTTATTCCTGCTTGCTTTCTTATTTGGTGTCTTTGTGCTTGGGATTTGGGCAACCCAATCTACGCTCTCTGTCGTTCAGATCCAATCGTCTTCTTTTCCCTCTTATCTCTTCTTGGTACGCCGTCTCAATCCTCTTTTACTTTTTTTTTTTCCTTTTATATTTGATTCTGTATTTTTCGTTGCCGTTTTGAGGTTTTTGTCGTTGATTTTTGTTCAATTGGCGATGTGTTTCATGTTTAATTTCCGCTTTTGTTGCCAGTAGTGCTTTTTTATTATCATTTTGCAATTGTTTTCATCGTTTTCAGATCTGATTTTTATTTTGTTGCGTTTATACTGTTGATGATTAGAAATTTATATTTATGCTGTTAATTGACATACAAGCGTGTTTGGTGAACGATGTTTTTCTAACAGACGCTTGTTTGTAATATGCGTGGAAATATTAATGAATTGTAATACTTTTGGGAGTTGTTTGCGCTATTTTTGCTGTCAAATTCTGAAATTTTTTATTTTTTATTGCCTATATGTGATGAAAGTGATGTCTATATTAAATATCATGTGAAATTGGCCTCTTAGATTTTACTTCTGTTGTTGCGTATTGGTACTGGTAGTTTGTAAGCAAATATATGTTCTTACAGAAAATTTTTTTTTTTATGAAATTTGCAGCCTTGATTAATGGCGGAGGAATTGGAGTACCGCTGTTTCATTGGTGGCCTAGCATGGTCAACCTCTGATAGAGGTCTAAAAGATGCATTTGAAAAGTTTGGAAAGCTTCTCGAGGCCAAGGTAACTGGTCAATTGTTTACGTTTTTATCGAGTTTGTATGGGTATTTATGTCGAACCTTATCAATAATTTGATTGTAAGTTGTAACCATATTCTTTACGACGCATTTCTGTTGCAAATTGAAATTGTCGGGCCTGAGACTGCTAAGTACTCTGTATTTAGATTGGATGATTTTAATGCCTTATACTGCTATACAGTTTAATGATTCAAAAGGGAAACCTGCAGCAATGTTGGTTTAAGATATATTATTTTGTATTATCAAAATATAGTAATTTAGTGAGAATATAGTGTTTTGATGTAGTTTACTGCAAACCGGCTGCTGATTATTCAAGTGTTTTCTAGTTTAACTTTCAAGTAGTTCTTGTGATACTATTTGGAACTTTAAAGGAGCATTATTTGTTGTAGGTGGTTGTTGATAAGTTCTCTGGACGATCTCGGGGATTTGGTTTTGTCACTTTTGATGATAAGAAAGCTATGGAAGAAGCAATTGAAGCAATGAATGGAATGGATTTGGATGGACGAACTATTACTGTTGATAAGGCTCAGCCTCACCAAGGTTCTGGTAGAGATTACGACAGTGACCGCAACCGTGATCGTGGTCGTGACCGTGGGCGTGATTTTGGACGTGGTGGATCTGGTGGTGGAGAGTGCTTCAAGTGTGGCAAACCTGGCCATTTTGCTCGGGAGTGTCCTAGTGAAGGTGGAAGAGGGGGCAAGTATGGTGGTGGTGGTGGTGGTGGTGGTGGTGGTGGTGGTAGAGATGACAGGTATGGTGGAAATGGTGGTGGCAGTCGTTATGGTCCTGACCGAAATGGAGATCGATCTGGTGGGCGCCATAGAGATTCTGGCAGCCATGGAGGATCAGGAGCTGATCGTTTTAGTCGTGATCGCTCTGGACCATATGAACGTAGGAGCACAGGAGGAGGTTTTCGTTCGGGATAGTAGTTGCTTATAAAACTGGTATGTGATATATGCTTTACTCTTTATCTTAGTAACTGTTAATCTGATACTTATGGAACTATGTTGTTGTGTTATTGCAGCCGAGGAACTACTGTTGCTGCGCCGTTCATTATCAATGTTGGCAAAGGGTTGGAGTTTCCTTTTACAAGATGTTTCTTGTGATGATTGTCTTGGGGAATCAGTGTAGTAAATCAGTACTTGAAATGCGAACTTGGCACAAGTGTTCAACTGTTTTTTGTTCCTAAAATGCTGAATTTGAAGTTTTCGTCGTGTGCAATCTTATGCTTACTTGACACATGATATGTTCCAATCTGGTCTTATACTCTGTGATTTGCGCTACTGCTGCTTGATTTCTCTACCCTTCATGCATTATTGAGTACCCATGTCATTGCTACCCGGTTCCCGTTGACCATCCTCCATATGCAATTGCAGTATTGGAAGGTTGACTTGTAGTAGTTATTCCGAGAATGATGATGAGGGGTTTGTTATTTGGAGTTTGCTTCTTTCACTTGGAAGAACTGGTCTTAAAAGTAGAATGCCCGTTTTAGCTATCCTGTTTTCGGTATCTTACTGAGAAAAAGGAGTCAAACGGGTAACATCTTGTTCTTGATGATTTTTTATGCATGCTTTTTTCTGCTTTATTTTTCCAGCTATATTAATATTTTTAACCTTTTGGCAGGACACGCTTGGCTAGTTATGGTCTTTTTGGATACATGATTGGCTTTCTTTGTTACTAATTGGGCATGCATGGTTTTAAACTTAAAATTCGAAAGTTTTTTTCAGCTGCAACAAGTCCTCTGCAATTTGATTGGACTTAAACCATTCTGAATCTTCTGAATTGTGCACTGATGAGGGAATTCCGCTATGCGTAAACCTGTGGCAGTTTGTGTGGAAACTCTTGATGAGTTTTATCAACTGCTGTATATCCCTTTGTTCATTTTATGGGTCCTTCTTTCCACGTTGCACTTTGGGGGGGAGAAAATCAGGTCTTGCTTTGTTTCCCTGCACACCTGCATTATCTTGGTCTTGTTTGCTGAGACAAAAGGATTCGACATTAGTTCTTGTTCACTTTGAGAGCAGCATTCATCATCAAACTCGATCCTCCTTTTGGAAAATTGCCGTCTTGATCCCTAAATATTTGCTAGACGCCAATGAAATAATTTTGTTCATTTACTCCTAGAATCTATTATTGTTACTTTGCAGGTATGAATCATGAAAGCCCTAGCCTTCTTCCATTGAAATTGTTTCCGGCTTTTCATGCTGCCTCATCATTTAGATATCAATTTCTCTCCTTTTTATTCTGTATGATATCATTTTTTTTTTTTTTAATAGTTTGGGGGTGGAGGGTTTCTAACTATATATCTTGTCAAGTGTGAAATTACTGCGTAGGCTATGTTTGGAACCACTATTATTTTCTTTTTCAAATGTCCCACATTATCGATTCTCTTGTTTTACGTGTGTCAAGGCTGGTTACTGCAATGGACCCACCCTTGTAACAACATAACTCACAGAGTGTGTTTCTGTAATAGCATGAATCATGCGTTTGCACCCAAGTCCGTAGTGTTGTACTACCAATCTTGCAATTAGAGCAACCAAACTTCTTTGCTCTTTTGTTTTTAGCCACGGCAATTAATTAAGGTCTTGTTCACTTTGCGGATTTAAGTTTTCAATTCGAGCTGAGATGTGACATTTTGAGAGTTTTTTTTACTGTAGTGGAAAAAGTTAGATGTGATATTTTTTGAGAATTTTTTACTGTAAAAATTTAAAATTAAAAACTCGAATCGGTGAAATGAACGAGGTTTAAGTCTTTGTTTCCCTTCTTAAGCTGAGAATAATAGCACTTTTTTATTACAACTAAACCTCATTCGATAAACACAATTACAACCAGATAAGAACACAGGTACAATAAAAGTGAAAATAAGCATTCGATAAACACAATTACAACCAGATAAGAACACAGGTACAATAAAAGTGAAAATAAGCATGAAGATTGAGCGAGACGAAGAAAGGGAACACACTAACAATAGCAGGAACTTCTTCAGATACTGAGGGGGCACACTAACAATAGCAGCACCAACAATAGGAGCAGCAACTTCTTCAGATACTGAGGGGACACACTAACACTAGCAGCAGCAACTTCTTCAGATACTGAGGGGACACACTAACACTAGCAGCAGCAACTTCTTCAGATACTTGGCGAGATCACATTTCCAGTCCAGTGGTGCCGATTAACCTGGTCAGCCCAAAAGTGACGGCCATAGCCATCCATCCTCCAACCAGCACTCTGGTGCAAGACCTCATCACTGGTGTCCTTCCCAGCACTGCTCCAACCGCTCCGAACACCAACAGTGCTACGCTAGCCACTACAGCCACCACAGCCAACCTCACTCTATGCTCACTTACAAACGCCGCCGCCAGCAATGGTGCCACTGCTCCTATTGAAAACGCCATTGCTGATGCCAATGCAGCCTGTGCCGGGTTTGGCAGCTTTTCCTTCTCGACCCCGTTCTCCATTCCACTCTCTGGCTTGATCTCCCTCTTCATTTGAGACATCTCAATGTCGTATTGAGTGTAGACAGAGACAAACTCTCCTATTGCCATGCTACAAGCCCCTGCTACCAAGCCAGCAAAGCCAGCGAGAAGCATGGCTTTGACGTCCTTTTTGACTGATCCCACTCCCATCATCAGCGATGCAACAGAAACTAATCCGTCGTTGGCTCCCAACACGGCTGCTCGGAGCCACTGTGCCCTTTGGGAGTAGTCTACGTGGTCATCACCACGTTGTTGTTTTTGTTCCATGGCATTTGGATGGGCTGGAATTTCGACGTGGTAGGATGAGTTCTGGTCACGAGCTCCAATGGAAGCCATGAAAGTGTTTCACTGGCAACTAGATATCTAGCTCACAGGGGAAAAGAAGGAATTGATTATTTCATTTGCTTGTGGAGGACACATGCCTCCTCATTTTGGGTATTTATAGCGGTTCATGCAAGAAAATTGTCATCAAAATAATCGCCGTGGTATTTATTTATCTTGTTAGTGATCAATTTTCAATATTCTTTTGCGACCCATTACTTGATATGTGTCGTATACATCATTGGACACATACTATTTCCTCCATTGTAAGAGTTGGTAAATGCAAGTATTCCATTTTTGAAGCTTATTAGCCGTTATGATAAAAGAAACAAACATCATTGAGCGTTATAAATTAGTAGACATTCCCTTGATTTCCAAGAATAGAAGCATAAGCGAGAGCATACGTCTAAATTTACAGCATTAGATATACGTCTATAATTACTTCATACTTATTATTAGATTATCCATTTACTTAATCACTAATATCTAGAGTGATCTCTTCTCACATTTGATATTCTAATAGCGGAATTTTTTTATATGGCGCATGCAACATATTATATATTATGGGAATGTAGTGAAAAATGCTGAATAGGCAAGCACTTAGCAATGGTTATAAAAGATGATGCACAATTAGAAAATTGAACGAAGTGTGCATTCACCACATAAAGGCAACCAGCTCGTTGCCATAAAAGAAATATAAGCCTAACCTAGAAATCTTTCATTTTGAAGAATAGTGGAAGGTACTTTTAGCTTTTATCAATAATAAATTTGGATATGAGTGTGCATTGCGCACGAAAGCTTGTGGCCGCTTGTTTTAATGGCCAAGTAATTAGGACATCATTTGTTTGTCCATCTTCAATCTTTAATTAAGAGCATCTTTTTGCAGAAACGCAATACTATTATACGCCATTCCACTGAAAGATGCCGTATATGCCCTTTTTTCTTCTTCACACTCTCTTAATGGGAGTATTTTCGTGTTTAAACTTAGGGTTCGTTCGCTACAAGAATTTAAATCAGGATGATTTTAATCATGATTCTAAAACCAGAATCACGATTCATGATTTTGGGTTCAAATTATGATTCTGAATCAGGGGTTTGAATCACCTTGAGTCAGTGGTGATTTTAGAATCATGATTTGAGCTAGTTTAAAACATCACATCAGATTCTGAATCATGATTCAAAATCATCCAAACCAAATATTGATTCAAAATCATGATTCAAAATCATGATTCAGAATCACTTTAAACAAATACTGATTCTAAATCAGGATCAGAATCATCTACCAAACGCACCCTTTCTCTTGAAAAGAACGCTAAGTCGAAGAGATGCGTGGCAAAAGTGCAAGGAAACTGATATGAAAACATATATGTACATGAAAAATATTATCATCACTATTTTTGTCACTCTCTACATGCATTGTTTGACACGTAGACTCTATTATCTCATTTTTTTAAAATAATAATATAACATGTTAATGAAATTTAAATGTGAAACAGTGAATGCAGAGAGTAATAAAAGAAGTGACAAAAAGAATAATGATAATATTTTTCTAATACATGCATGGTCTCTGTTACTTTACATGCATGCATGGGTGGCTGGCCGATAAGGCGTTAATCCTTCGAGTAGATTATAAGACCTAAAGCAAAATAGTATAATACATTTTCAATGATATTCTTTCGATTAGATATATAAAATAAAATCATTAGGATAAAATTAATACATATTTTAAATGATAGGATTAATTGTGGCATTTTTTGCAGGAAAAGTAGATGGAAAAGAATAGTGATTACTTTTTTCTTATTCAATATTTATATATTTTAAGGAAATAATATTTAAATTTTGAAAAAATGCATCATATAGCATATTTCATATTTATGTTTCAAGTGAATAGTTTTTTTTTTTAAAAATATTAAATTATAACATATTATTAATTTTTCTTATTCAATATTTATATTTTTAAGAGAATAATATTTAAATTTTGAGAAAATGCATCATATAACATATTTCATATTTACCATATTAATTTAAAAATCTGACAACCGGCTTTAGCAACTGTTTTCTTGCCGCCGTCTTCAGCAATTGTTAAATATCACATTTACCATATTAGATTATAGTATAATTTTATTATAGTATATTTACCATATTAAAATAGTAGATTATAGTATAATTTGATATTTAAAGTTTTAAATATTATTAAAAACTAAAAAAATACTCCTAATTTTTCTTTCCACTTCTCTCTTCTTCTTCCAATAGTCAAGTTCACTATGACCGGCTCTGGTGACCATCTCCAACGGCCAGCTCTGGTGACAATTAATTATATGCTGTAATTTACTAAACATACTATTAAATATGTTATTTCCCTCTTTATCCATAAATTTTGGCGTATAGGTAAATATCTTGAATAAACTGGTTTGTCCCAAGTAATTATATATTTAACCTAGATATATGGAGAAACGACGATAAAAATTTTAAAAGAAAACTTCTTCAGAAACGATAATGCAAAGACAAACGACTAGAAACTGGAACAACAACAAAAAAGTAAACGACAGTAAAATTAAAACGACGACACAGAAAATCATATAAAAAGTGAAAAAAAAACAAATATAAAATAACGGAATGGAATTGTGTAGCCATTAACTAGTCGTGCCTTTATTATTTTTGATTAATTATATTTCCCAAATTCTTTAAAAAAAAAAAAGAAAAAGAAAAAGCAGCGGATGAAAAATGAAACGACAAAACCTTAAAAAATAAAGAAACGACATCATAATACAATTAGAATTCCGAGTTTATTTTTAGTTGATTTTGAACAAGCAATCCGAGTTCCAAGGTACCAGCAGTAACAGAGTGCAACATTTCCAAGTGATAATGCACAAGAAACCGCAGCAGGCTTGGATAATGCTGAAAGGAAAATCTTATTTTTATTGCAGCACGTAATGAAACATGCCCTAAATCAGATTTTATTTGATTTTTGAGTCGTTTACGGAAGACAAACGCAGATGGAAAGAAAAATATAATAAAGCTTCCAAATGGATGACTGCTCCTTTATTCACTTGTCTGTACGCAAGGTCTCACATCTTCACCGCTAGCCCCAAAGCAAGTGAAAGAGACCTGCCATTGAAAACTCTTTATTATTGGTTAAGAATGACAAGAAACTTAAAATACTAGAAGAAAGCATGTTATTTTTCTTTTCTTTTTGAAAAATAATAGAAAATAGACCAATATGAAAAGCTTAAGAAAGTATATAGGCCAATTTTTAGTTATAGAAATTAATAGGCCATAACTTATCAAGTTATGGTTCATAACCAGATAAGTTATGGACAAACTTGTCAAGTTATGGTTCATAACCAGACAAGTTATGGACAATTATGGACAATAACTTGTCAAGTTATGGACGAAAACAGTAATTTGACCTATTTATTAACTTATGTAAACTATTGACCTATTAATTTTAATTCATCTCAAGTTTTGCCTATTTTCCTCTTTCTCCCTTTCTTTTTTTGGTGTATTCACATCCTCGGCCCAACACCTATTAGAGGAGTCTACTGGCACCGCCGATGGGATGATAAGCGTCGTGAGCCTTCAACGCTATCAGCGTAAGGCTCAGAGTCTACCAGCACAGAGTCTATGCCAAAGGGCAGACTTTTACGTGCTGCATTGACTCGAATCTTAGGTGGATAGAAGCACTGGTTCCAAGTAGGACTTACTTTACCGCCATTCCACCACCACCGGCGGTTATCCTTCTTTTCTATCACTCTATTTCTCTCTCCTTTTGCATAAGAATCTCGCGAAAGTTTTTCATTTTTTTTTCCTGGTAAATCTCACAGCATTTAAAAGGACTCATGAAAGTTATTTACAAAAAAAAAAAAACAAATTTTAGATATCAAACACTAAAGCCCACGTAGGAAAATGAGGATGTGTTAATCACACCTTTTCGAGCAATCATGATTTTAAGTCTCTTAATATGTTGGTATGGGCACCCCTGAACTTTCTGTCAGCTTTTTGTAAGCTGCTTGCAACTGTCGAGTCACAGGCCCTACTTTTCCATCTCCGATTACACGCCCATCGATTTTCGTAACCTAATAATGAATTCCAAAAATTATAAGTATCGCGTACATTAAGATGAAATCATTGCAACATTGATTATCAAAGCACTCACAGGAGTGAGTTCTCCCATAGTCCCCGTAGTCCACACCTGAAGGGAAAACAATGCTTTTGGTGAGCGATGACATTAAATAGAAGAAAAGGGATACTAATGCCTTATAAGAGCAAAATAAATATCTCCTATCTAAACACTCATACATATAAGATGTCAAGAACTTTTCTTGAGATCGTGATATGTTGTTAATCTAATACTTTTTTTGTGGGTTTTTCTCGTTGAGATTCTAGAGTCATCATTTTTTGGTTTTCTTATAATTGAAATTCTGAAGTTGTTATCAAAATGTATTTGTATAAATGTATCGGTGCAGGAGAACCTCATCTGCAGTATGGAACTCTGAAAGGCTGATATTACGCTCCTCTAAGACGAACTTCTCCTTGACCACAAGGTCCATAACCTACAACCTCAAAAAGCAAACTGGTTATTACCAAAGAGCACATCATATCGAATTTGTCTGAAACTGAATTTTCAGGTTTTATGTAGTCCACCTACGTTCTTGAGATACTAATATCATACAAATAGGCTCACAGTTAACGGAACTTTATTGCAATAAGAAGACTGGAAGCTTAAACAACGTACAGTAGCTCGCGTGATGCCAGGAAGACAGTAATCAGCATGCGGTGTCAATACACGTCCTTTCTTTACTAAAAACTGCATAAAGGAGAAGCAATTGGGAAGATCGGAATTAATGAGAAAAACTTGTATAATGCAAGGAAATATACTTCATATTATCATGGCAACTTGATCTCATCTTCTGATATTATGACTATTCACAGAGAATTTTTCCCAGACCGGAATGAAATTTAGAAATCAGTGTGTCAGGTTACAGAGTGAGAAGTCTTAGAGAGCGCAACCACCGATTTCCAAATGAAACATGAAAAGCAAAAACACAAGCTTACAATATTTGTTGCATTTGTTTCTGAGACGTAGCCATCCTTGTCAAGCATAATTGCATCGCCAGCATTTGCGTTATTGCCTTCTATCTGATGAATCCAATATGCATGTCAAAATTAATTCAAGAGGAAATTCACAATAATTGACACGTTACTACCATCATAGGAAAATGACGCCCCTTTTATTATGTATGCACATGCACACAATTAACTACTCAAGGTTTAATGGTTGAGCCTTCCATCAAGAAAATTCATATACTGAAAAGTGAAGTCCATCTCAAAAGGCTAATAAATTCAGGAGTTCGGACCAGTCAGCAATCACCTATGTGAGCATCAGAATGACTGTATCGTATCAAATTTGAAAATTATCATAGTCTTTAGTAGCACCATAAAGAAATATAGTTGTTGAATGGAATGCTACCTTTGCAAGTATATTGTTGAGGAGGTTGTTGTGGTGAATCTTTGAATCCAAATTCTGGTAAAAAGACGATAAAAAAACCAATGTCAGCAGCTGACTAGAATGACAAACTCTTCTACTTGACAGCCGTAGAAAAGACCTGGCAATGTTGTTATATGTAGACAGTGGAATCAAGTTTTATTTCTTCCCCCCCCACATCCCCCCTATTTACTTGAATACAAAAATAAAAAGGGAAGCAACAATCTTACTTACATTTGGTGAATTACGGCGAGTAGTAGCTGTAACCAGAGTTATACCACTTGTATTATCATACACAGGGGGTTTCCACTCAGGAAGCACTGCATGTTTAGTAAAGAAATATTCAGCGTAGACGGGATACACGGCAATATACATTGATCAGCAGGATAATCAAGTGTCATCACTACATGAAGCAGAAAAAATAATAAAAAAATTGATTTACCTATTAACGTGCAACCATAGAGATTGAATGCAGGACTCATGCCAGAAGTAACCTGAAAGTACACAAATATAATCCAACCATCAAAATGAGTACATTGCTGAATCTTGATAGATGCACAAAAAAGGATATTAATCTTTCTAAAACTTAGATCAATTTTTATAAATTCACATAGAAAGTGGGGGCTCCGTCCCACTCCTTAGAGGAGTAATACCATTTCCCTCTATTACTGCTGTCTTACAGTTACAGCACTAATCCTTTAATCCTGTGATCTATTTATCTAAATGTCTTTATATTATAAGCACGTGCATGCAAGATTCAGAAGAGGAGAGAAAAAGGTGCTGAATAAGCTCTCAACATACCTTCTTGCCACGAGTAAGACTTAACCGGATGTGTGTATTATCAAACATTCCATTCCGAATAAGAGTTCTGAAGATAGCTTCTTTAACCTGCAAGTGTAAAATACTCTACTGGTGTCAAGCAACAAGTCACTGACATACAAGTTTACAGGAAAAAAAATCAATGAAGAAAATTCCTTTCCCACAAAGACTGGCGTAAATAAATTGTACCAACCGGTGAAGCAAACTTCTTTTCATCCGGCCAAAAATCAAGCGTACAAACTCTTACCTCTTCACGAGTGGGCACATTTTCGAAAGCCAAAGCCTTTGCCGAGTCAAACAACCTGTCAACAAAAATACATTCAAGTTCTTCCATTCTATCTTGATAACAATATAATGATAATGATTACATTATCACAACCTTGCGTGATGGTAGTAGTATCTATGATTCAAGGAAATGCAGCCAAGTTATATATCTATGTACTCCAAGAAAGATGAGGAAAAAAGTTTTGTGATTGCAAGTTTTAAATGCTCTGCTCATATGGCAAACAGTGATTAGTTTCTCATTAAATGAACTTAAATTTTCTAGTTTCTCTTTACTAGTAGCAAGGTATCTTCATACACGGGTCAAATTAATATTGAAGAAGCATCACCATTTATCAAAGCTCCCTTTTCACTGACCTATCCAAATGCTCTTCAAGCTTAAATATCTTTCCATTGTAAATTCGGAGTCCTTCCCAAACTGAATCACCTCCTTGGACAACAGAGTCGAACACAGAAACCTAATGTGGGTGAAAGGTAGACAAGAGAGATATAGATATTAGCAGATGATAAATCTGTTCGAGTTTTCAATTGCTGGTCATAAAATGCCCCCATCTTAAGGTACCTTTGCACTGTCTCGTGGAAGAATCTCATCACCAACCCATGCAAGCAGCTTTGCGTTGGCAGGAACTGGAAGATCAGGAGTAGGCAAGGGGGATTTCAAGAGGTGCGATGTATGCCTTACATGGCGCCAAAGAAAATTGTACAGAGGTAGACTTTGCTCCAGTACATCGTACAGAGAAAGTGGAAATGGCTGAAAAGGTGAATAGAGCATAAATCAGTTGAAAGCATCATTTCGCTTAGATACTAAGTTGATATTATATGACCACGATAAACAAAAGCCTAAAACGAGAACGATCAAACAAAAGCCATTAAGCCCCTATGGTCTAAACATCTTATACAAGATCATTTAAGAGTAGAAAAACAAAATGGTAAGCAAACAAATACATCAAAAATACAAAACAGTCAAAGAAGCAGAGAATAAAAATGTGGCGGTGCTGAGATTAGTCTCTCAACAAAGACAGTAGAGCAAAGTTAAATGTCCACCAAGTCAAATAATAGACACATAGAAACTCACAAATAAATTTGAAGGCGTTAGCAAAACGAAAATCTTTACACGATCAACATACCATGGGGTACTTTCTTGGTGGTTCAAAGCCAGTCGATTTGTGTACACTTTTGTACCACCAGGGAGCCCAAATTCCATCTATTGGTTTCGGACCAGCTTCCCATCTGAATATTTTTGGATGGAAAACTTGTCATGCACATTAAAGAGCATCATGCCAATTCTAGCAATTACAGAAAAAGGAACATAGAGCCAGGTAAAAGAAAAGGAAGAACAATATGTTTTCTCAAAAGTTTGATAGCCTTATGTACCAAGCATTTGTCCCCAAAAAAAAAAAAAAAAAAAAACACACACACACACACACACACACACATATATATATGGGGAACAGTAACGGATTTTGGATAAATTCCAAGGACAGAAGTTTTGAAACAAAAGCAACAAAACAAATAACAGTAAATAGCAGAAAAAGTAGCATACAACTATAGACACCACGGAGACTATAATAAATTTAAGTAAAATTAGAAGTAAGGATCAAAGAGAAAACTCTTCAAATCTATGGTATAATTGCAAGCGAGGTTCAACTGGATGAACCGACCAATCTCCCAGAGATTTTTAAGAGTAATATTATCCCACCACCTTAAACTTAGAGGTGTAATAATAGCCAAAGAGTTTATGAGTGAAAATTGATTTAATTATGACAAAAAATTTGAGGAATATCATTACATACTTGAGCATTGAGGCTTGAAAAGGAATATCCAGATCTTCACAAAGACCGCGTAACGTAGCCTGCGAATAAACAACACGAAGTGAGACTGGAAAATATGGCTGCAAACTTGCAGTTACATAGGTCCATTTTAACTGTAACTCAAAAAGCCTTCGTTCCTTTACCATGTTGAGATACACTTAGGAATCTCTAATTGACAAGAAATCTATTAAACAGGTAATTCCATGAGCAACGTATGATCCTTTTTATGATTCACACACACAAATATTTCAAGTTAAAGCACACATATTTAGAGAGCTCCAACACCTCAGGATTTTGTCCAAGTTCTGCAGCATCAATGATAGGTGGAGGCTTTCCCAATGCTACGAGCTCATTATATATTCCAACCAGGTCTGCAAAACCCAACTCGAGGAAGGACGGTGGCACCACCTTGTGAAAGGATGGCTGAGAATACATATCAGATCAAGTTTTCAGTTCATGCGTTTAAACCAATGATTCTTGATTTTGGCATTTGAATTCAAATTTTTTGTGAGAGGAAAACACTGTAGTAGAATCAAAATCATGGGATTAAACGCATGAAACAAACGAGCCCAAAATCTAACAACTTACCAAAATATCCAGTGGATTGCGTATTAGTATGAAGTGCTTTCCTTTTTTAAGTAAATCACTGGACAAGCCAGGCACCCATTGCTTTGCCATATGCTGTAGACCGTAGGAACATTGTATACAACAGAGCAAAAAAATCATCACAACAAGGTCAATCTAGGGACAATATTTGGCAATATCTGATTCATAATCATATCCGTACCAGAATATGAGTAATTTTATTTTTCTTTCTTTATGTTGAAAAATCACGGTCCCTTACCTTACAGAACCTGTACTTCTTCTTTCCTGGACCAGAAATAACCGTATCTAAAACCTTATTTCCATCAGGTTCCTGTTAAAAGAAGGAAAGAAGACAAACAATTATAAGTTCAATATCCAAGGAGAAGAAGATAACAGAAGAGGGTAATGTTTAGGAGGAAAAACGACATCTTAACATATCATGAATCAAGAATCTCAATTAGAGAAAAAGAATACCATTGTTGATAGTAGTTCCTCCCTATAGGGTCTATCAAAACCTGTCACCCGAAGAAAATTCGCGTAGAGGGGTTCATCGAGCACTTCCATATCATCCCTCTGGTTTAAATCCAAAGCAACATTAGGGCAGTGCACATTAGCAGATAACCATTGTGTTTTAAACTATACTGAAAAATCAAGATCCCATCTTTGGACTGAAAGTAAACTTAGTTAATCGCTCACAAAAGAAGACGTGAGACTTGCATATCAAGAAGCTTGACTTGCAAATTTAAACTTGGTTTGGCTGCAGAAAGCATTATTATCTAATCTATATTTGTCATAAGCATTATTATTTGTCTTCCATAACAGAATTTAGAGCTACAGAAAACAAAGTTAAGCTATGGTTTCCCAAATGATCCCAAACTTAAAAAAAATTATTAATACTTTTTTTATTTCTAATTGCAAATATACACCCTCACTGTTTCACTTGCTAAGAATCCATTCTGCAATGAAACAGAAGATTTTCAAAGGCAGCTCTAGTACTTTTAAATTCATGCAACATGGTAGTGATTCTTGATTTGGACATACTAATTAGTGCAAAACTCACTCGCAATTATGATCACCCAAAAAGTTCATAGACTTTCCCAAAAAGTTTAAAATACTTTTCCTTTTCTTTTCCCATTTGCCCTCAGCAGAATCATCCATCCAACAATCTTCCAAAACTTTCTCCAAAACAAGAGAAACACACAAATATTTGAAACCCAATTGAAATGTTTATCACTCGAATCTGAACCCACTAAAGAACTGAAAAAAAATAAAAAAAATAAAAAGAAAAAAAGAAAAAAAAAAAAAAGAAAGAAGAAATGGGAAGGTAAAGGAGTAGAATTGGGACCTGGGCAAACGAGTACGTAAGGCTGGTACTGAGTGATCTCGGAGGAGACCATGAATGAATCACCTCCACTTCTCCTTCCTCCTTTCTTTGCTCTGCCATTTTTGGATTACTCACACTGCCACGCTTCTCGCTTGTGTTTTTAAAAGAGATTCTCCTAAAAAAAAAAAAAAAAAAGTACTGTTCGTTGTTCAAACAAGAGAGAGTTAATTTTTTGATGATTTTTATTATACTGAATTGTTCATTGGGTGAGCGTTGCCGTCATTGGATTCGTCGTTTTTAGGGAGAAGGAGAGAGGGAAAGGAGATTATTGGGTTTGTTTGTCAGAGTCGGACAGCATAATTCTCTCTCCGGTTACAGTACTTTTATTCTCCGTATGCCACTAAAATAATCCAAAGATTCTCTCTCCGGTTACAGTACTTAGTTTATTGTCAGATTGAGCCAATCGGATCCTGACAGCTCACCCCTGCAGCTACTGTATCGACGGTGGGGTGCGGGGGTGGGCTGGCGGCGGCGCCAGATCTTTTTCTTTTTTTTTTTTTTGAAATTTTCTGTTTGTTTCAATTTTTTTTAAAAGAAAAATTTATATGTTTTAGACCACAGGAAATAAAAGACATTTTCTGTTAAAGAAAAGAAAACGACTTTGTCAGATGATATCCACCTTTTTGATATTATTAAAAGCTCTTTTCTAAATAGTACTTCTGAAAATTCTAGCTAGCGAAAAGTAAAGTTATTTTACCAAAAAAAAAAAAAAAAAGAAAATTAGTTGTTCCCGTTTTGCACTAATTGATGTGATAGATGAAGGATGTATGGTATTATTTTCTAACCGATGAATGACCGAAATAATTTATGAACACATTATGAAGGAAATGACGTGACACAAGGAGCGGTATAATGTTCTTTTTCAAACTAATATGAATGGAAAAGTATACATATTTTTCCAATCTATTTATTAAAATAACATTTTAGAAAAAGCCGAAAAAACAAGAGTCCTATTTTACGCAATTGAAAAAAAACAGAGTCCTAGTTCATGACGCAATTTTTAGTTTGAAAGTGAACCACTTCATAACCTCGGCAGAGTAAAAACTATAAGACAAGCTAGCGAATCAGACGACTTAAATTATTAAACAGAGTAATGTGACCCTATTTTTTTTCGCTGATTCGAGTTTAAAATTTGAGTTTTATTACAGTAAAAAACTCTCAAAAATAATCACATTTAATTTTTTTACTACAGTAAAAAACTCTCACACAACATCACATCTCAACTCGAATTAGCGAACCGAACGGGCTTTATCAAGTGAAATATTAAGGTAACATTTATTTTAAGTGTTCTGTCTGATTTAGAATTATAATTTTTAATTTTACTACAATATTTTTCTCTTACAAAAAATTTAAATTTTAAAAATTAAAATTATAAATCATAATTTTAAATCTATAAACCAAACATCACCTAAATATCCTTTGATTTAGAAGCTACCATTACCAACTCAAAGAAGAAAACCAACACATACTAGAGCTTCTCCAATCTCCTAGTATGGCTATGAATTTATATATATATATATATATGTATATATATAAAGGCCCTTGATTGTAAGGACCAAGGCTAGCCTAGCTCGAGTGTTTACATGACACAATAAATAGTCGAATTTCGGATCTTTTATATGAGTGCATGTAAGGAAGCAGGTTCATAGGCTTTAGTGTCTCAGTTAAATCTGTGATGGTAAGGCTAGCTTTGTCTATCAAACTAAGAAAGTAATTGAATGTGTCAACGTTGCGAATAACAGAAGCAATAAGAGCCAATGGGCCTTTCCTTGACACTACTACGGCTACGCTGGAAGCACCATTTGTTTCCGTTTTGCCCAGAAAAGCTTCAAATCCGTTGCTGCTATCTTCATTTCCTTGTTTAGCGACGTTGAAGATGTCCCTGGTGGCACAAGTGCTTTCCGGCAAAGAGACGTGGCGGTTCTCGTTCTGCTTCTCGGAACAAGGTTTTGTCTGGTTTAGAAGACTGCCAAGTACTCGAACAAGATGTGGGAGACATACTGGGTCATATATAACGTCGGCGCCCATACTGCAGGATGAGAAGAACAAGGGGAATTAACACCGACTTCAGTACTTGTGGGGCTACATGATTGAACAAACGATATGCAACTTTCTAAGGCAAATTAACTCTGTCAACTTCGTCTCCCATATCGTGATTATTTTTCAAAATTATAAATGATAACAAAGGGACTTGAGACAATGCGTGGGAATATGTATCAAAACAATTGTCTTCTAATTGATTGGAGAAAACCTTGGGAGTTAGCACCATAACCACATCATATGTTTGGTTGGCATTTCCACAAAAGCAATACTCACATAATATCTGGCTTAAAGCCTCGAAGTTGTTCCTCTCCTGCGGATTCCCATGGAAGATATATACACTTTACCTGAGATTGTAAATACGAAAAAAAAAATCATAATTTTATCGGCTAAAAAATCTCTGACTTCTCCTTCATCCCTCACAAATGTGTGAAAATGATTGAACCAAAAGCTCACCCTTTTTGGGTCTTCAATTGTTTTCTGCACATCAGTTCCAATGCTCAGGTGGCTCGCTTCTAAATTAACTTTCATGTTTGCTAAAGTTGACATGTCACCATCACTTAATATCACCTATATCAAATACAAAATTATAAAGTTATCAACAGTTCTTTATTTTCAAGCAAGAGATGATTAAATAAATTGTTCTTTTTGTTAACAATTTTGTTAAGAGCTAAAGAAAAGATACGAAAGAGAGGAAGACCACAGATCCACCTAAAAACAAGAGAACATTCGACGCATACCTCCGAGGCTTTCACATGTGCAAGACAAATTCCAACCAAACCCACTCCCGAACCAACCTGTTTAGCTCATGATAAGCCAATCGCAACTCCATAATTCAGTACAAGAAATGGAAAGAGGAAAAAAAAGCGCCATTTAAGATAGGATTAATGGATCTTAGTCGAGTAAATTTAGAAGGAACTGCAGAGATAAGTTGCACAAGAAAGTCACTCCGTTAGAGATTGCAAGCATAACTTAACAGTAAATCCACACATGTTCAAATCCATCCACCCCCAAGTTCGAACCTAAAAAAATAAAAAAAAAGGAAGAAAAAAGTCAGACTATGAGGTAGGTTATATGTTGCATAACTTACCTCAAAACATGATCTATTAGAAAATAATTCCGGAAAGGCAAGTATGCACTCTGACAAATATAGACTTGATGGCCAAACCGAACACCTAAAATGAAACAAACGCCACATCAATTCAGTTCACGTACTTGATGTGATGCAACCAAGAAGAATATAACTTTCTTCATAGGATACTCAATAATGATAATGAATTAGGACGCAGATAGATCATACATGTAAAATGCCACAAGCATAGCATCATATTATCCATAATAATGCGAGTGGAAAACGGCACGCAAAGTGTCAAAAAGTAGGTCTTTATCCAACAATGATTAGAAAACATCAAACACAAGTCTTTCAAGTGTTTCTTTTTTCTCTTTCAACCAAGCTAAAAAATGGTGTTAGTGTTACAGACATCAAACATAGTTAATAGTACAAAAGAGAACATTAAAAAAAAGGAAAAAATTTAAAACATACCCCGTATCTCCTTCGAGCATGTTAAGAGAACATTGGAGCGGAATCAGCAGTTTCCTTGACTTGGGACAACTTGAAAGTTGTAAACATTCTGAAAAAATAAAAACAAAAGCAAACCCATCAACCAAATAAAAGATGCAAATACACTTAGCAACACCACATAAATCAATATTGTTACCATTGGGAAAAATAAATGAAATGCATTTGTTGATCCTTGCAGTTTCTTTGCCCGCAACACCATCCTAACACAACATAAAAAATAAAACAAAAATAAAAAAAAGAAGAAAAACAGGAATTTGTTAGAAAGAACATCTATAGCATATATTAATCAATTTATACCTTCAATTGAGTCATGTAATGAGCATAAAGTTCATAAATTTCGTCCAAAACAGGGCAATCATTGAGCTCAGCTTCAGTTATAAGCTTCTTCAGAAAGCTCTTCAAATAAGGCGCGTGAATTTTCCCATCCTGAGAGAAACATAAACAGAATAAACTCAAATTGCTTTTTTTTTTTTTCTTATCTATTTATTAATAAAGAGTGTCATAAAGGTGTAATCTCTACACTTTCGCTTATGCAGTGGCTCCAAATGAATCTCTGTACTCTCTCTGTAACCGATCCTTCACCACAAACCCTACAATTAGAAGAAAAATGCAACTCAATAATCTAATAGCCAGACCAAAACCTAGAAGACGACGAAGAAGAAGAAATCGCGCTAATATGCGCCGCATTCGGCTAAAGTACGCCGGGGGAGATACCGAGCGAGTGCGATGAGGGAGTCCGTGGGCTCGATGGCGAGGAAAGCTGAGAGCAAGTGCAGACATGGAGGGTCCGCCGGATTGAGGTTTTCGTCCGCCATGATTGCTTCTATGAGTTGAGTAAAGCTTTCTCCGGAGGGAGGGGAGGGTATTTACAGTTTACTCCGTAGTTCGTTGTCGTTTCAGGAAGAAAACGACATGAAGTTTCCCATTCTGAGTTAAAACATTTTGTTGTCGTGTGCACAAAGATGACATGTCGTTTTTTGAATAATTCATATAAACTTTACAATGTTCAATGAAATGAAGGCTGATTTACTATATATTTAGAATTATATATCGTATACGTGAAAGAAATTTCATAAATAAATATGTTAGTTTGGTTTGGACAATGAACCCATATAAAAACTGTCTCGTTCACTTTACAGATTTGAGTTTTTAATTTTAGTTAAGATATGACATTTTCTGAGAGTTTTTTTTACTGTAGTAGAAAAAATTAGATGTGACATTTTTCAAGAATTTTTTACTATAAAAACCTAGAACTAAAAACTCGAATCGATAAAAGGAACGATATTTACAAAAAATATCAAACCAAGTCAAACTATGAGGGCCTCGTTCACTTCGCAGATTCGAGTTTTTAATTCGAGTTGAGATATAACATTTTATGAAAGCTTTTTACTGTAGCAGAAAAAGTTAGATGTGATATTTTCTGAGAGTTTTTTACTGTAGAAACTTAAAATTGAAAACTCGAATCGGTGAAATGAACGAGGCCGAGATATATTAAACCAAACCGTATGAAATTGGTTAGTTCGAGTGATTTGATCGGTTTAGCATTTTTTCTCAAGTCCCCCAGCCTGTCATCCAAGGTTTTCTGTCGTTTTAGCATATTAGAAAAATTATAATATGATATATCACCTGTCTAAACTTTTCCTCAAAAAAAAAAAGAAAAATATATATATATATATATATATATATATAAACGACGCATCGTTTTTGTTTCAACATTCACTGTCGCTTGGTGGAAATTACAAATTACTTACCGTTTATATGGAAACCAAACATTTTATTTCGAAGAAAAAAAAACGACATATCATTTTCCTTTTAAGTTAATGTCGTTTGTAGCGTTAAAAGTGTTTTGTTCCATAAACTACAGTATTCTTTGAGAAAATGACATGTTATTATCTAGACGTTTGCTGTCGTTTCTACGATTATACAAACAACAAACCTTTTAATACTTCGACATTTGATGTAGTTTGTTATGAAGGAAAAACGAGAGTCTCGTTTATGGTCTCAAACGACATGCCATTTGTCAGTATAAAGTTTACTGTCGTTTACGGTCTGAAACGACACGTCGTAAGTCTATCGGCTATTCCCTTTAAAATCACTGTATTGCCTTTTCTCAGCGTGCAAGGATTTCTATTGGCATTCGACTCGTAAAAGGAAAATTTACCCGTTGCTTGCCAAATGGTGTTTACATCCGTGACTTGCATTTTCAATTCCAATCAAATCCCAATGATATCAAATGTGCCCCTCTAAATTATCACTCAACAGAAAATTAATCACCAATTTTATTGCGTTTTAGCCATAGTCCATAAAAGACATCAAGACAATTAGGAAGCCGTAGCATATACAAAGGGCCACTAGTTAATCAAATTGCACAAGGACATAATGGTAATTGAACAAACCAAAAAAAAAAAAAAACGACATTGCTTTTGGGCTCCTATTTTGCCTTTTCCCAAATTCCAAAGCAAACTTCCACTGTACCCCACATTGCCATATATACCTCCAAACTTTCTCTTGTCAGAAAATGTTATATAATAACAAGCCACAATATTGTCTTGGTAGGTGGTACATTACTTGATAACATACACGTGAAGAGCAAGATCCTATCCATGTGTCCCAAGACAATGATCCCCCAAATAATCACCTTGTTCCTTATTCTTTCACCTAAAATAAATTCCGTAAATTTCAACTACCCTGCGGTTTTCAACTTTGGTGATTCAAACTCCGACACTGGTGAGCTTGCTTCTGGCTTGGGCTTCCAACTTGGCACACCCAATGGCCAATTATACTTCAAAACCCCAAATGGAAGATTTTGTGATGGCCGTCTCATTGTAGACTTTCTCGGTAAATTTCTTAATCTTTACATTTCATAAAGAAATCTAATTGGTCGGGTTATGCTGTATTAATTTAATGGGTTTTGTGTAATTTTCATTTGATATGATTTTGACACGATACAACACACAAGCTAATAAATTTTATACCAAGAATGGTTGTTGCTTACTTTTCCAGCTTAAAAAAACTGCTCTTTACTATCAAACTGTCTATATGGAAGGTGTAAGGGTAACTTTTTATCCTTCTGGTCTTTACTTCGGTTCTACAAAACTAAAAGCAAAGATACAACAGCCAATGATGAGGCCCACAAGGACAATTGGACAAAAGACTTATCATGAGGAGATTTCTTAGAATTATTGCAGTTGTTGGTACTTTAGATTTAAGATCAGAAACCACCCACCAAACATCTACAAACCTCTCTAGCGATTGGCCATGGCTACCAAGACTTGTATTTTCACCGTATTCACCTTCATTTCTCTTTTCTCCTTGCATTTTTCCCAATCTGTTGACTTTAACTTCCCTGCTGTTTTCAATTTTGGTGATTCCAATTCTGATACCGGTGGTCTGATTTCTTCTGGGATTGAAAGCCTTAACCCTCCAAATGGACAAAATTATTTCCACAACCCATCTGGGAGATACTGTGATGGGCGTCTCATCACTGATTTTCTCAGTAATTTTTTTTTTTATTCATAAAACTCTATCACACATTCCTCTGTTATTCCCATGTTTCCTCTGTTTTTTTTTTTTTTTTTTTTTTGTTGTTGTGTTATGATGCTTTTAAAATTGTTTTGTTTTTTCCTTAATCTTTTGAGGATAATGATGCAGTGGACGCAATGGAACTTCCATTCCTTAATGCCTACCTGGACTCAATAGGCACGCCGAGTTTCCGAAAAGGGTGCAATTTTGCAGCCGCGGGATCTACCATACTCCCAGCAACTGCAACATCAGTTAGTCCATTTTCATTCGGAGTTCAGGTGTCTCAGTTTCTCCGGTTCAAAGCCCGGGTTCTTGAATTGCTAGCTAAAGGTTAAACAAAAAAAAAAATCATTTGTTAATGCATAGTTCTTTTATGTTATCCATTAGCCATGAAGATTTTCCGGTAGAGAGATACGCGAAAGAAATCTGAACCTTTGTTTGATTCCTTTTAGGTAAGAAACTTGCCAAGTATCTGCCAACCGAGGAATTTTTCGATAAGGGACTTTACATGTTTGACGTAGGCCAGAATGACATTGCTGGTGCATTTTATTCCAAAACACTCGATCAGATTATTGCCTCCATTCCATTAATTTTAGTAGAATTTGAAACTGGAATAAAGGTCGGACTGAATTGAATAAATTGTCGTTTCATTTAAACAACATAAACTCTTCTCAGACTGAATTGAATTTGTGCTTTTCTTTCTTGCTTTGTTTGGTTTACTTTTCAGAGACTATATGACAATGGCGCAAGGAATTTTTGGATACACAACACTGGTCCTGTTGGATGCTTGACACAGAACGTTCTTAGATTCGGAACCGATCCATCAAAGCTTGATGAACTCGGATGTGTTAGCAAGCACAACCAAGCTGCTAGACTGTTCAATCTGCAACTCCATGCTCTATCTAAAAAGTTGGAGGGCCAATTCTCAGATGCAAATGTCACATATGTTGATATCTACACAATAAAATCGAACCTCATAGCAAACTACACCAAATATGGTATATACTTATTTCTATCCAGAACCATGATTAGTCTATTTATGGTAAAGTTTGTTAAACGAAATGTGATTGCAGGATTTGAACAACCTATTATGGCTTGCTGCGGATATGGAGGTCCACCATTGAACTATGATTTTCGAATTGCCTGCGGTCAAACAAAGATCTTGAACGGGACTTCGGTCACGGCCAAAGGGTGCGCGGACAGTTCTGACTACATCAGTTGGGATGGAATTCATTACACAGAGGCTGCAAACCAGTTTGTTTCTTCACAAATACTCACAGGAAAATATTCCGATCCACCTTTCTCAGACAAAATGCCGTTCCTTCTGAAGCTCAAGTTCTAAAGACATAAAATGATTGTTTCCTAATTATTTAATTCTTTATTTTTCATCAGTATTTTATAATGTACTAATAATTCCAAGCCATCATCTCCAAATAAATTCTGACAAATGTATTTTTATTTCCCAAAAAAGCCAGAAATAATGCAGTGCTCGCAATTCATCTTGTTAATTGTTTATCTTTCATTTGCTTGTTAAGACTTACTCTTAATATATTTTGTTCTTGCCCAACTTTTTACTAATATTAAGATGTCAGAAACGTAACAATTGGCTAAGTCAAGAACCGAATTTCATTTCCGTGTCTTGTATATTTAACAAACACCATGCCTTTTTTCCTCTGAATACAAGTTTCTCATCAATCTTTAAACAAGATCATCTGTATAACTTCATGTTATACATGGTCTCTTTCACGGGAAATAATCTACAGAGACAAATCTGATTGTCATATTCACTTTACTTCTTGGAGACATAAGCATAGTATTGTGCCATGGGAACAATTGTCATATTCACTTTACTTCTTGGAGACATAAGCATAGTATTGTGCCATGGGAACAATTGTCATATTCACTTTACTTCTTGGAGACATAAGCATAGTATTGTGCCATGGGAACAACAAAGGCAATCACCAACAAGCCACCAACAACTAGGGAGAACTGTCCACGTTTCTCTTCTGTCTCTTCCCTACTTTTGAAATTCGATTCCCTTTTGTTTTCCTTAAACTGAGGACCCCCGGGATCTGGAAGCCCATCAATGGCGGCGGGGAGCCGCTTCGCACTGCTGAAAACGGCTTCATTGTATTTCTCTTCCGTAGCCAAGACTGCAATTCCAAAATCATATATGAATGGAAACATTCAGAACTAGTAGCCAAACAAAGTGACATTTTGATTTCTTTAAACAAAAGAGGACCAAGGCTCTAAAAGAATCAAGTACATCCTCTGAATATATGTATTTTTTTGGTTTCCTTTTTGAACGGAGGGTGGCGTGGCATTGAATTCTTGACCTTAACATTGTTGCTGATTTACCGCTAAGCTATGCTGCGACAACTTTTGACTATTCTTTTGAGTTTTGACCGATACTCTACGAACCAAGTCCATCCTATGACTATTTTGTTTTTGAACTGGTGGTGAGGGATTCAGACTTTTGATCTTAACATTGAAAACTAAGTTGTGTATTTACCGTTAAGCTATGCCTGAAACCACTTTTGGGATAATTTTTCGGGAACTAACAACTAGTGGAATGCTGACTTGAGAATGAAGAATGAAGGCAGATTTACCAGGGAGATTTTCTGATACAGTTGCTTCAAGGACGTTTTCTCCAACAGCTTGGATAAAGGCAGGACCACCAGTGACAGCCCCTTCTTTTTGACTTGTGATCAGCACAACAATGCCCTTGTTATTCCCTTCCTCAACAGTGGGATACCAACGCTCCAAAACTTGGTCAGCATACTCAAAAGCATCAGCTTTGCTCTACAAACCAATTAAAGCAATGTTCAATACATTTCGTGACCACTAGTCCAAAGTATTTGCCTTCTTGCTTTCATAACTCCGAAGATTTCTTACATTTGAGGAACAAAACATAAACACTCTCTACATTGTCATTGTTTAGTGATCATAAAACTCTTGACGGCTTAAGTATAAACTCAGCTAAGTATGAACAATACATGTGCTGACTACACAATCTCAATTATAAACGTTTGGTTCATCGGTTTGAACAGAAATTCAAAATTTTTGCGAGAGAAAACACAGGTTGAACATGATATAACTTACAGTGAGCTTTCTAACAGTGATGAAATTGATGCGGAAGTTCTTTCTCGACTCCAAATCAGAAAGCAATCTCTTCAAATCCGACCTCGTGACGCGGCTAAGAACTCCGGCATCATCTACAACGTATGATTCTTTGGGTGGTCCATCATAGAGGACATCAAATTCAGATGCTAAAGCACTGCCAGTACTAGGCAAGAGAACCGGAGAAAAGTTGAGCGCTAGAGAGAGAGCAAGAGCTGCTAATCCTTGTTGGGCATAAGAAAACAAGGGCGGTTTTAGTAGTGAGTGAGAAGGCTCTTTCTTGAGGCTTGAGGTAATGGGTTTTGGGAGGCAGAGAGAATTTGATCTGGAGTAATGGAGAGAAGGGGACAAAGAGGTTGTTGGAGAGTAAGATTTGTGGTTTATGAGAGGGAAGAGAGATTGAGAAGAGAGAATGGTTTCCATGGGAGAGAGCAAACAGATTTCAGCAGTGATGAAGTTGAACCATCAGTGAGAGAGAGAGAGAGAGTTTGTGTATGATTTTTCTCTATGTATCTTGTTTTTTCTGTTTTTCTGTTTGCTGTTATTTTGGGTGGCTTGGATTTGTTTTGTGTTGGATTGGCTGGCTGAATTTGAGTCAGGATAACGTATAGTCTTTTATCAACCATGGAAAGCCATGAGGGTATTCTGGTCCCAGCAGCAAAATTTCTCTCTCTCTCTCTCTCTCTCCCTCTCTTAAAAAATCTCTCTTTTCTTTTCATAAACCAAAAAGAGAGTTCCTTGGGTAACCAAGTCTCTGTCGTTTTTGTCAGGATTAGAGAGTAATGATAGCAAAGTTAATTGTGAGCATTTTTATAAAATAGATAGATATAATAAAAGTTAATTAACATTAACAAGAAAGCACGTTGTTTGTGATTTTTTTCTCATTTATTGGTGCCTCACTTCTCCATCCCTTCATCACTTTTGAAAATTTTAAACGGTAAAACTAGTCCATCAATGTAACAAAAAGAAACTAACTTAATTCTATTTAAAATATGAGTGTAGTTTTCCCTCATGCTACCACATATTTTGCACAACACATTAATCAAACGTAAGTTTTAAAGTGAGATTGTCGAGTAATAAATCCTAAGGCATCTTGAGAATGAGAAAAAAAAAACATATATTTTTCACTGCTGCACCAACCTATTAGTAGTTGTTTAGTGATTTTTTGTTTCTTTTTTTTTTTTCCCGAGAAAGATGTGGTTTAGTGATTAATTACACAATTTTTTGTAAGGAAAAGTAATTACACATATTGAGGGATTACAATATTCATTCCTATATTTTCGTTCACGTCCTCGTTTTTTCCTTTGAAAAATAAAAACGACATATCGTTTCTTCTACAATACCAAAACTGCCCTTTCTGCAAGCATTCAAAAGCCAGTCTCCCTGTCCCCACATTATCTTCCTGCCTCCAAAATTTTTCTGCAACCATGAAAGAAACTATCCTCATTCTCTCATGGCCATTCTTCTCTCCCTTTCTCCCCCCAACCCCGTCTTCCCCAAAATCCCTTCTTTGCTCACTCCAAACCCTAATTCCACATTCTCCTCCATCACCACCACCTCCAGACGACATTCGATTCTCAAAATCACTTCTCTGTTTGTCATCTCCTTTGCACCGCAACAGTTCTCGCTAGCCCGCTCTTCTGAACAAGCTCCGGCTCCGGCTCTGGCGAAACCCTCGCTCTCTGGTATCGTCAACACCAAATCCTGGTTCCAGTTCGTCGGCAATGGCTTCGCCATTCGGATCCCTCCTCAGTTCGAGGACATTATGGAGCCCGAGGTACTTCGATCGTTATGATCTTTTTGTGTTTTGTTCTCCAATTTTTGTTGTTCTTCAATTGAAAATTTCTTTTCTTTCTTCTCGGCGAAAATAAAAGTTCAGTTCTTTCTGGTAAAAATGGTAAGATTTTGTCACGTTAAAGAGTTAAGTTCATGCATTTCACTGTTCCAGATACAGCGAGCTTTTTATTTGTTTTTTGTTGTTTCTTTCTGCTTTTAGCTCCTCAGAGTTTTGCAATTTGCGATTTGTTTTTTTTTTTTTTTTTTTTGGTTGTTTCTTCTGTTTTTAGCTCCTCAGAGTTTTGCAATTTACGATTTGCTTTTTTTTTTTCCTGCCATTTATAGGATTTCGATGCTGGGTTGTCTCTGTACGGAGATAAGGCAAAGCCCAAGACTTTTGCAGCTCGTTTTGCATCTCCTGATGGGTATGTAATTCTTATGAATTTTCCCTAATCTTCGTTTTTCTTAATCAAGTGTAAATGGAATGCCTTAAATCTTAGCTTTTACGTGAAAACGTTGCCCCACGTTGAGCAAAGGAAAGAAAGCAAAGGAAAAGTTTTGATGAGATTTTTTTTTAATAGTTTGGTGGAGATCAACCTTAGTTAGTATTCTGTCTTCGTTAGTTTCTTTTCTTCTATAAGTTTTGTCCTTTATGTTATCTGAGGCTTAATTTTGGACGTTATATGTTTATTATTTTTTGTTTTCTTGTCCACGTTCTTTGATACAGATCTGAGGTTTTAAGTGTCATAGTTCGTCCTACCAATCAACTCAAAATCACCTTTTTAGAGGCCACTGACGTAACGGATTTAGGTTCCTTGAAAGAAGCTGCTAGAATCTTTATTCCAGGTATATAAAGGTTGAATTCTGGTTCTGATCTTTTCTCACGCCATAAATCTTTGTTCTAATTTACCTTTCTGGGTGGTCTTAGTCTAAGACGAATTTACATGCTTTTTCCCTATTGTTCATCTTGGCTCTTCCTTCTGTTCTATTGGTTTTTGCTTGTAATTCCGACCAATGTGACGATGGCAGGTGGGGCAACTTTATATTCTGCCCGGACACTAAAAATAAAGGAAGAAGAAGGCTACAGGTAAATTCACCATTCATGTGTTGAAACGATCATGATTTTTAAGCTTTTCTAGTTAAATAAGAATGTCCTGTCATAGGCACAATAATAATCACGAAAAACTAGGCTTACCTATCTCACATAAGTACATAACTGTATGACCATATCTAACTTGTTATCTGGAGATGCATGTCGGGACTTCCTTCTTGATCTCTATGGTTTCCTTTTACTTGAGATTTTTCTGTTTATCTACGTTGAGTAACAATTTATGTTTGTTTTACCTCTCATTCAACGTGTTGCTCATATGTTGATATGTTTCAGGACTTATTACTTCTATGAATTTGGCCGAGATGATCAGCATGTAGCACTGGTTGCTGCTGTTAATAGTGGGAAGGTTTGTGTTCATCGTTCATGTGCATTGTAGTGTAGAAACACTAGTCAATTTTCTGCCAACATTAGATTAGATTGACTTGTATTCTATGGTTCTTGTCAAGAACACTGGATAAACCAGTCTATAACAAGCTATATGCTAAGAGTTTTTACTAAATCCTTGTGCTAAAATGGCAAGATCCTGCCTGCTGGTTCACAATCTGTCCTTTCCAAATTTAGTCTAATGTATCTAGTTATCCCCTTGATCCGTGTGTGTAATAAAGTAATCATTTCTACTTGTTTATTGTGAAGGCAATTATTGCTGGAGCAACTGCGCCGCAGTCCAAATGGGATGATGACGGCATGAAGCTTCGTTCTGCTGCTATATCAATGACAGTTTTATAGCCATGTGCAGGTTTGTAACCAGACCACAAACACCTAATTCCTAAACACCAAGTGGGAGTTCAAGTACTGTTTTGACAAATTTTCTCTTGACCAACTCTGTCGCATCCGAATCCTCTAGGTTAAGGTCAATACTAATTTAATGTTTTTGGGGGTCTCGATTTGGAACATAACATACTTGGAAATTCTAGAGCCTATTTGTTTCATAAGTTTGAACTACAATTTAGACCTTTTTGTTATAGAGGTTTCTCTCACAAAAACTTGAAGTTCAGTTCAAACCTATGAACCAAGCAGGTTACTAATGTTAGACTTTTTTTCTTCTTCCTTTTTTTTTTTTTTTTTGGGTGAACCAATCTATCTGAACGCGTGTGTTTGACATTGAGCCAACATTTCTGCTGGCTACTAATTTATGTTCACCATGCAGCTACAATATAGAGGACAACACAGATTTTGTAGACCATCACTGAGGCAAACTATGACCAGAAGATTCATAACGATCATACAGGCATCTCCAGCTCAGTAATTGATATTTCAGCGCTTCTGTAGCTAGCTGTTTTTTGGATTGAAAATCTGTTTTTTTTTTTTTTTTTTTTTTTTTTTTTTGAACAGGTCACTGTCAAAAGAATTTAAATTTTGTCGTGGAGATTGAAAATCTTTCTAATCTTATCAGAAGTCCTTGGCTATAAGCTTTGTGAAAACAGATTTCTGCCCGAACAACTAATCTTGCGGTGAAACTCTAGGGGAACCAAAGAAAGAGATGGAGATTTCCCTAGGAAGGATTTGGTTAAACAAAATAACCTTCTTTATATTGTAGCCACATTCAATCTTGCATCCACGTAAAAAACTTTTTTTTTTTTTGGACATGTTTCTTCTATGAGTGAGGATGTTGAAGAAGAGGTCATTTGGAGCCAGATATGCTGTCATATTTTCTTGTCTTGGTGGTTGTCTCTGCACTATTTTTTTGTAATGTCATTTAAATTTAGAAATCTAACCATACGAATAAGAACAAAATACTAAGAGTGTGTTCATTTGCACAACTCAAGTCATGACTTGGTTGTGTATGTGAGAGAAAAACACTATAATAAAAAAGTTAAATTTAAATTTATGTGAGAAAATATTGTAGCAATATGATTTGAGTTATGAAATGAATAATGCTTAAAAGTATTTAAGTAATTTATGATGCGTTAAAATTTAATTAGAGAGATAATCACTGAAATAAAAAAAAAATGAGATAACAGATCTTGATTTAGTGAGACGTTAGTATTCTTGTTTGAATATTTTGGTATTAATTTAATTTGAGTAGTCCAAACTAGGGCCCGTTTAGTTCGTTGATTCGAGTTTTTAATTCGAGTTGAGATATGATTTTATGTGAATTTTTACTGTAGTAAAAAAATTAGATATAACTGTTTGTGAAAATTTTTTACTGTAATAAAATTTAAATTTTAAATTAAAATAAGAGAAATGAATGGCCTATTTGTACGCAGCAAGCGCCAACTAACGGCTACAGCAAACATCTCTTCTCAGTTCTCACTCGTGCCCCATTAAAAACAAAAGACTTTACCACGCTTTCACTTCCTACAACTGCCTCACCTCCACCAGTCAGATCTAGACAACTCCACGATTTCGTAAACCACAGGTTGTAGAAAAAGAAAATAATTAAATTCCAACTATGTATCATTAGATTAATGAAAATAGGTTGGACCTTAGACAAGCATTCGTCGCTATTTTCCATTTTTCGTAAAGTATTCGTATTGAATAATTCTTCTTAAAATAATTAATGTTTTTTGATATTTTGATTGTGCGAAGGGAAACATGCCTAAATTTGAAGGATCATCATTTTTTGGAACACGACCCTCCAAAAAAAAATTTATAAATGCCTATATTCTTACGGTGAGCTTGCCTAAATTTTATATGAAAATAATGTAATATTTTCCCAGCAAAAAACTCAGTGGCAATTCCACAACCTGCATCAAATATTGAGATCAAGGTTTGAATCCTCCTATCTTAGTTTAAAAAAAAAAAAAAGAAAAAACATCAGACGTACAGTCAATACAGTTTATCTTGCTGTAGAGGATCCGAACCCACATCAACTACCATTCTTCTCTCCATTTAAAAATTTGGAGAAACGTCCAACGAACCCATCAAACACAGAACTCGGATATTTCAAAGCAAAACTCTAAATCCAAGGTACACAAAACTTTCGTTTTTCTTCAAAAAGGCCAGATTTTTGAATGCCAAGTTTAGTTACAGAATAAAAAAGATGGTGGCGTTCGGAGCCATTAGAAGCCAGTCATCAACACTCCAAGACTCATCATCGTTTCTCAGCACAGACACCATCATTGCGCTCACCGTGTTCTTCGCGCTTCTATGCGCTTGCATCATCATCGGTCATCTCCTCGAAGAGAACCGCTGGGCCAACGAATCTATTACTGCCCTTCTTCTGGTGCGCAGTTGAACTTGAGGACTACTATTTTTCATCTTTTATGGACAATTTGTTTGATCAAAAATCAGAATTACTCGTGTTTGTTTCTAATAGATATGATATATGTTATTGGTCACAGGGTTTGTGTGCTGGAGGGGTGGTGTTACTGGTGAGCAAGTTCCAGAGCTCGCATTTATTGGTTTTCAGTGAGGATTTGTTCTTCCTTTATTTGCTTCCCCCAATCATTTTCAATGCTGGGTAATACTCTCTTTCTCTCTATCTCATCAATGAAATTTGATGTGAAACTTTAGATCATCAAGTTTGTTGCCTCACTTTGGTTTGGACTAATTTGTCTATTGGTCTCTTTTTGTACTTAAATTTCACATTTCCGTTTTAGATTTCAGGTCAAGAAAAAGCAATTCTTCAAGAACTTCAATACAATATTGCTGTTTGGTGTTTTCGGTACTGTAATTTCATTCTGTGTCATATCACTAGGTATGATCTTTAGGCTATCAACCACTTCATTGCCAGTTTCTTATATCTTTTCTCAATCAAAATCTAACTTGTTTTCAATCTGAAATACTTTTATAGGTGCTTTTTTGCTGTTTAAAAGAATTGGTATTTCAACCTTGGATGTTAAAGATTACCTAGGTGACCACTATTAACACTTGTTATTAATAATTACTATCTTTGTTTATTTAGTTATTTTCTTTTTGCATATGGTGAGTTCTGCTTTTATCTGCAGGTGTTGGTGCCATATTGTCTGCAACAGATTCAGTTTGTACACTGCAGGTGATCTTATTATAACTTTAAATCCAACAGCAAAATTACATATATGTTGACGGATGACTTTAATGACTGATTAATGACTCTCATCTAAAAGGTTCTCAGTCAAGATGAGACACCCTTTCTTTACAGTATTGTGTTTGGAGAAGGTGTAGTTAATGATGCTACCTCTATTGTGCTTTTCTACTCGGTACAAGAGCTAGATTTCAGCAACATCGACGCTGGCTCGGCTTTGAAGTTGTTATGGACCTTCCTTTACCTCTTCTTCACCAGTACTGCTCTTGGTGTATCGGTAAGCTTTACATCTTCATTGGTGAGACCAAATAAGATTAAAGGAAAATTGATCGTCAGACGTAGTTTCTGCAAGTCAATTTATTAGCTAACGTGTTTCTTTATCTTTCAGGTGGGTCTTATAAGCGCATATATCATAAAAACTCTTTATTTTGGAAGGTATAAATGAGTGTTTCACAGTATACTTATTAAGAACAGCATTAATTATCTTGCTGTCATGTTGCCTCTGCACATAAAGGTTGTCTAAATCATGCATTTTCAAGTTTTTTAATTTGATAATAGACATTCCTGGTGTTTAAAAACAGGCGTTCTACAGATCGCGAAGTTGCGCTTATGATGCTTATGGCTTATTTGTCATACATGTTGGCGGAGGTAGATAAGTTGGATCACAAAGTTTTCTCTTTTTCATTCCAAAAATCATGTTATGGTACCATGCATTTGATAGAAACATGATTTAGAGGACGTTTGGTTGGAGAATTTAAATCATGTGATTTGAATTATTTTCGATTTACGTGAATTTTTTGTGAGAGAAAATACTTTAGCGAACCACGAATCATGATTCGAATCAGGAAACGAATCTCTCTACCAAACATCCTCTTAATGTGTTGCTGTGTTATTGAACTTTAAAATCAACAATTTTGTTCTTGTTGCAGCTTTTAAACCTTAGTGGGATTTTGACAATTTTCTTCTGCGGCATTGTCATGTCACATTACACATGGCACAATGTTACCGAAAGCTCAAGGATAACAACCAAGTAAGAACTAAAAAACTATGTGATACTGTTTAGTCCTTCAAAAGGGCCTTCAGAGTTGAGAAAGCTTTGCAATTTCAGGGCTTCTGCTAAACAATTTCTTATCTCTGTAAATTTCGACAATTTCAGGCATGCATTTGCTACAATTTCGTTCATTGCAGAAACGTTCATATTCCTTTATGTTGGTATGGATGCCTTGGATATTGACAAATGGAAAAGCAGCAAGGCAAAGTAAGCTTAATCTCCCTATTCCATTACAAAAGCATCAGTTGGCATTTTGTATGTTAATATCGATAACCTCAGTACTTTTATCAACTGATATTATCCTTTTAAGCAACATATGATAGCAGTTGTCAGAGAAAGAATGTCATGCCTGAAAATATCGTATTCTTTTCAATTCAGTCCAGGAACTTCAATTGCTGTTAGCTCAACATTGTTTGCAATGGTCTTACTCGGAAGGGCTGCTTTTGTTTTCCCAATTGCCAATATTAAAAACTATTTTCAGAGAACAGAAAGTACAAAAATTGGATTTAGAAAACAGGTACAAATTGCAGGCATCTAAGCACTTAACTGTCCTCTTTTCACTGTTCTCCAAAGTTCACTAACTTTTAATTTACCTCTTAGTTCATAATATGGTGGGCTGGCCTAATGAGAGGTGCAGTAACTATTGCTTTGTCTTACAACCAAGTAAGTTGAGGATGTTTTTAAGTCTATATATGTATATCTTTAGGAATTTTGGCTTCTAGGAATATATTGATTTATACCAACTAAAATATCAGTTTGCAGAATCTGAGAAGACATCAACAAAAGATAGCGCATTGATGATCACCTGTACAATAATTGTTGTTTTGTTTAGTACTGTGGTATGTCTTCCTGTACGCCTGAACCCCACAAATTCAAAACACTTGGTCATGTATGTTGTTTGAATCGAAAATTCTGTCTCGTATTCCATATCAAAATTTCGGTCTAGTTTCATAAAAAAAAAAAAGAAAAAAAAGGGCTAGTTAGTGAACGTATTGCATTATTCAACATTGGCATGGGAATTTTCTCAAACCTGTTCCCTCTGCAAATAGGTCTTTGGTTCCATAACAAAGCCACTGATTGAAGCTGTGCTGTTGCGGCATTCGAAACCATCTGGCTCAGATGCGGCTGACATGCCAAGTCTGGAAGATCTACGGCTGTCGTTTTTGATCGAAAATGGCGAGTCAAGCGAGCAGGGAGACAATCAGCCACCCCCTAAAAGAAGTAGGTTAGGCCTGCTGATTAGTCATCCGACTACAACTGTTCACTACTACTGGAGGAAATTTGATGACAAGTTCATGAGACCGGTTTTTGGTGGACGGGGTTTTGTTCCATTTGTTCCTGGTTCACCCAGATGAGACTTCTTGAAGCCAATTACAGCAAGCATATAATTCTTGTTTATTCTTCATCATCTTTTTCACTGTACAAAAAAATGTTAGTTATTGACACAAATCACACTTGAGAATGATAATTTATATGTTGTCTCAATTTGGTTTCCGACTTTCAGAAAATTGATCCCAAAAAAACTCCCTCAACTAAAATCTTTGGCAGTTTACTACCTAGTTTTTGACTTTTTGGCGGTTGTATAAGTTCTTAATTTTAAAATTAATGAAAGGTTTCTGAAACTTAAATAATCATCTCAAAATCACACTAAATTGAAAGTTTTACAGAAATAATAACCGAATTATATTAAATGAAAAGGAACAAAAATAAAACGACACCATTACCAATCAGCGATTACAAAGTTAGAAGTTAGAACCGCCAGAATCATAAACGACTTAACGTGAAAAGAAAAAGAAGAAAAAAGGAAAACGACATTAAAGTAAAGACGACAACTAATTGAATAACATTAGGGACCTAGGAAGAAGAAACGACAACAGTAAAAACCCTGAAAAGTCAGAAAATATTAACATGAGAGAACAAACGAAAAAATAAAAACAACATATTAAAAACGACAACAAAGGGTAAAGGACCAAAATTAAAAACGACAAGAAGTTGATTCAGCGATTATAAAGTAATAAAAAATGAAACATGATAATAACGTTGTTTACACAATTTAAAAAAAAAACTACGAATTGGAAGTGGAAACGAACAAAGTTATAAACGACGCAGAAAAGTAAAAGTAAATTAATTAATTAATTAATTAATACTAATATTAAGGGTGCATGACGCCCATACTCGCTTAGGATTGTAGAATTGATAATCTATTAATTTAGTATATGTTCTACAACTAACAGGAGATAATTAAGATAAACTTGATCACATAATCCGGGTTTCCGTTATATTTTATAGAGAGAGGAAAAAATAACAAAAGATAAATGATTAGTTATATTCATTAAAACAAGAGTTCAAATTAGAATCTGATTTTTATACAGTCCAAATCAGATGCAAACTCGACGACGCCCATCTAAATATTATATAAGGCCCTCACTCTTTTCCATTACTTACAAAGTAATTCCTTTAACAATCCAATCTTATTAGAGTATAATTGTATAGTGATTAGCTATCTGTGATCAAAGCAAAAAATACAAAGGGCCATGGAGAAGTACTACAAAAACACCGTATTCTTCGCCATAATAATGATCATCATCTCCACATTCTACTTGATAACCGTGGCATCATCTGAGCAACCTCCATCAATCCCCGCCGTGTTCGCTTTCGGCGACTCGACCATCGACTCCGGCAACAACAACCGCCTCATGACGATCTTTCGGGGCAACCACCCTCCGTACGGCCGTGACTTCCCTGGCCACATTCCCACAGGTAGGTTTTCCAACGGAAAGCTCGCAACCGACTTCTTGGTCTCCAACCTCGGCATCAAGGACCTCTTGCCGGCGTATCTCAGCCCCGGCCTGACCGACAGGGACTTGACGACCGGTGTCAGCTTCGCGTCGGGGGGCTCGGGCTTAGACGACGCCACCACGGCTCTCACCGGCGTTATAGACATGGCCAGTCAGTTGCAGTACTTCGATGAAGCCATCAACAGAATGGAAAGAGCTATTGGGAGAAACGCGACGCAGGATTTATTGAAGGAGTCAATGTTTGTGGTCAGTGTTGGGACTAATGATGTGGTGTTCAATCTCTATAGAACCCTTAACTTTGTGCACACGCCTTCTAGCTACCAAGATTTTCTTCTCCAAAGGCTTCAGTCTTTCATCGAGGTAATTTACTTAACTAATTCAAATATTTTTGTAGTCATGATATATAATACATTTAATCTCATGCACATCTTTTTTTTTTTTTTTTAAAATAAAAATTTAGAAAAGTCATTGTGTGACTTATAAAAGTCTGGAATGTAATATTAACCACAAATAATTTAATTACTTAGAGCAAGACCGTTGATACAACACACCGTTTTATAATTATTATAATATTAGCGAAAAACAGTCTTCATTTTCTTTTATTAATTATTTTTTGCAGAGTTTGTACGAGCGTGGAGCACGCGAGTTTGGAGTTGCAGGTTTGCCACCAGTAGGGTGTCTGCCATTACAAGTGACAGTAGGTAGCTTTATGCCAAGCCCACATATGTTGCAGCGCCTCTGCGTCGTCGAGCAAAACTTCGATTCTCAAACCTACAACTCCAAGCTTCAAGACCTTCTCACCAACCTCAACACTTCCTTGCCTTATTCTAGGATCCTCTACTTTGACATCTACGCTTCCATGATGGACATGATCGTGAATCCATATAAATATGGTAAAATTTTACACTTACGCCAATCAATTTTGCACTACTTATTATTTAATTTGGCTGTAATTTTGATTTTGATATATATTTTGTTGTTAGATTCTAATTTCTTGCGTGCTTTTCAATTCAATGAAGGTTTTCAAAACTCTCTTCAAGGATGTTGCGGGACGGGTATGATGGAGATGGGTCCTCTCTGCATTGTGGGTTTACCAATGTGTCCTGATGCTTCTCGACTCATCTTTTGGGACTCCATGCACCCTACAGAAGCTGCATACAAGGCCATTGCTGATCACTTTTTTCAAACTGTGCGCCAACTTCATTAATTAGCACCTAACAGTAAATAGATTGGTCTATTATTTTCATATGCACTAGGAGTTAAATAGTAGACTATTTTATTTTCGTAATAGTTGGTGTTTTGTTTTTCTTAATTACCACTGGTTTATTTACAGAGCTGAGAGCTCGTCTAAGTAACTTCAATTGGATGTGGAATGAAAAAAAAAAAGTTTAAATTTTAAGCAATTTATACATGTTCGTTATTTATTTATTTTCTTTTTCATGTCAATTCAAGTGGGTTTATTTAGGTCCTGTTTGTTTCACTTGTTCGAGTTGAGAATTTGAGTTAAAAAGTGAATTTATGTAAGAGAAAACAACAACAATAACAACAAATACAGGTCTTAATTTTAAATTAATTGAGGTTGGTTATATGAATTTCTCATTTTCAGTATGTGCTATTAAACACGATACTCTCCTGAAATCCTAAATCTTAAAATTCGTGCCTAACTACGTCAGTCCTAGTAATTCTTGGTCTACCCCTCGCTCTCTTAGTACTAGGTATTTGGATGTTCTCTCAAGTACGAACATGTGCATCTAACCATCTACGTTGTACATGCCCATACCACCTCAGACAGTTTTCTCGCACCTTATCTTCTATTGGTGCTATACCCATTTTACTATGAATAACTTCATTCCGGATGCGATCCATCCTCGTATGGCTACTCATCCATCTTAACATACGTATTTCCGTCACACTGTAGTAAAAAGAAATTAAATTTAAATTTTTATAAAAGAAAATATTATAACAAAAACTTAAATTATAATTCAAATTAGTGAAATGCACGAGACATTAACACGGCTGAGTTTTAGAAATCACAATGAGGACTAGAACTCACAGGTGCGAAAAATGACGATCCTAACATTGTATTATGCACATGACCTTCCAAGGAGTACTGTACTTAGGAACATTAACAAACATGTATAATTTGGTCGTGAGACCGTCTACTCTAGTGTAATTACTTATCAAAAAGAAAAATAAAAAAGGTTAAATATTTAACATATATAATAAAATGCTCGAAGCATACAGGCTCAGGAGAAATTCCAAAAGGCACAAAGTATTTACAATGTTTTGTATCTTCACACTATTTTTCTTTTTCTTGCTAAGTTTTACCATTTAAATATGTTCAGGTTAAGTTCACTTTCCGCGCTAAACTTTGCACGTTTTATCAGTTAGTAAATGGTGACTTATTAATACTCTCACATAAGATCTTACTAATGAAATATTCCTATCAGAGTTGGATGAAATGTACAAAATGTGAGTTACTCTTCATTAACATTCTTTTTAGTCAATCAACTATATTAGTCAAAAAAATATTAATTAAAAATAAATGATAAAAATCCAGACTTATGTATCAGTAGCAGAGGCAATAAAATTTTTTAGGCGGACGTGAAGTAAACTAAAATTTTAACTAAACAACAATACAATAATTTTAATTTTGTTTAATACATTTTTGAAGTTTTACAGTGGGTTTATATAATATTATGGTTGATTTTTGAGTTATTAATTTGATATTTTAAATGTAAAATATATATAAGTAGCCAAACTTTGGGGTATAACTGAAATTTTTCTAAAAATATTAATGTAAATATTGCAAAGAAAATTTAGGGGGCAAATTAGGAGAAACTTTACAAAAAAAAAAAAAATTGTTGGGCTTGATTTTATCAAACGTCGAAATTTAACATATACAAGATATGAAATATGTTAAATTTGACATTGAAAATAGTATCGCGTTAGATATTACGAGGTTGTTCTTTTGCAACAAAATTCAGAAAAAGTTGAAATTTAAGTTACAACTTTATTCAAGTTAACGTTATTTTAAGTTCTAATTTTATTCAACTTTATTCAAGTTATAACTTCAACTCAAGTTATAACTCAAATTCAACTCAAAAACTACACTCAAGTCACACTCTAAAAGAACATGTCCTACGCTTTGTACTGAAATGCCAAACATTTACACTCGCATGAACGAGAGAGAAAAAAAAAAAAAAGAAGAAGAAGAAGAAGAAGAAGAAGAAGAAGAAGAAGAAAAGAGAAATGAGACAAATTTTTAGGAGGAAAAAAAAAGAACGAAAGAAAGAAAGAAAGAAGACATGTCGTTGGTCCTTTTAAATACGACATCTCGTGTGGTTTTTGAGGACACACCCAGGTAGAGGCCCACGGAAAAGCCCAATGGATTCCAAGGTACAGGCCCAACTCCCAAGATGTCCATAATTGTCTATACAGTTGGGAGGCACCTTAAATCTTCCTTAAACCCTTGAAACAACAAAAACCTCTATGTGCGTCTGCAATCTTCAATCTTCATGATCTGACGAAATAAAGATTGGATTTTTGTAGATTCGTCATTGAAATTGGATATGGCTTCCAGAAAATTACATACGATTCGGTCTCTGTATCGGACGGCTCAGATTCGAGGACCCTCGTACATGTGAGTATATTTATGGCAATATGATTTATAATCTCGAGACTTTCCGATAATTTTGCTTACTCAAGATCTGATTTTCATAATTCTTATGTTATTATATCGATTTTTTTATTAAAGTTTTTTTTTTTTTTTTGGAAATGGTTTTTGCTTGAATTCTCAGGTTTGGTAGCTCAACAAGCTACTCAAGTGGTATTGCAAATGGTAAGTTGTTATAGTAGACATTAACGAATCAATTTCCTGTTCTTTTCATGATTTAGAATGAAAGTTTTTAATAATTCAATGATTTTGTGTATGGCAGAAGTTTATGAATTTAATTTTAGGAAAATGTCTTCAAGTTCATCATTGTTTAAGGCCCACAATGCGCTTCCTTGGACTCCTCGAAGCGCTTTGACACTTCGCTCTACAATGGTGAGTGTATAATATGAAATATTTTGATTTTTGTAGATACATTAGATGGGATTAATTTGAAATTTAAAGTTGAGCGTTTTTTCTTTTTGGGTTTTGATTTTAGGCTGCTGAGTTAGATATATTCTCGTACGACATTAGGTTGGCAACAACGCAGGTTAAAGCTCCTCCACAAGCACGGCAAATGGTGTGTCTGTCATCTTTGCCCAACTGTTGATACATTTTTGAAAATATAATAAGTGAACAGATATTACGAGATTTTGTTTTGGTTCTGGTAATGTACTGCAAAAACAATAGCTTCACCACATGAATATATTGTCATCCGCTCAGGGTGCTGTTAAAGTATCAATGCTAAGTCCTGGATTTGTCTATGAACCGTATGCTCCTCGCGAAAAAATTCCATTCTGGCGCAGGTTAGTTGGGTCCTAACTCCTAAGTCACTATTGACAGAGTATCATCATTTAGTTCATTTTTCCTACTTGGATACGCAGAGGGAGTATAACTCAGTCCTTTTATTTGTTTCTTATTTATGTATTTATTCTTTTGGCATCAGATGGTTTACAAGAAGTGGATGGAAAAGAACAAAAGAGGATATAATTTTGGAGGTGAGGTTATCATCGAAGCAGCTTATGGGCTATTATAAATTGTTTTTTGCTTCATTCCTGTTGTTATTGCCTCTTCAGCTTTTTCTCTTCCTTTGCAAGCTATAGTAGGTCTGTTACTCAAACAGTTTTCATGTTATTCCTTCCCCAATTCTTCTTCTGGCTTCCTCTTGTCACTGCTTTTATTTTTCAGAATTTGAATTTCTGTAACTGTTGTTTATTTTGGTTGACGTACTGTATAGAACTTGGGGAACATGGATTGTGGTCCATATCAAAATTGATAATAGAAGTTTAGTCCTACTACCTCAGTGGAACCCTCCCTAATTTAAAAGGGTTATTTTCTCTCTCTAATTTGCAGCTCAAAAGTGCATATGCCATTGCCAAATTAAGAAAATCTGGATACTCCAAGCAGCTGTTCTACAAAGAGGCGGTAGAGATGTACAAGGAGGTTTGTCTTTTTGTTCTTTGCTAGGCCATCTTGTGTAGATGTATTCTTCTTATGTTATAACTAGTAATGGAAAAACTAAATTCTACTGAAAAAAGTCATTTGAAAAATCTTCCCACTTTGCTTTTAAGAAGTTGGCAGCGTAAAAGTCTTAATGTTTGAAACAACCATCCGAATTAAACTTGAATGCAGATATTTAAACGCTTAGGTGACCTGCGAAATTGCATTGTGTAGGAAAAAGGAGTTCATAAAGCCAATTATCTATAAAAATACTTTGACGAAGAAAGGTGATGACTATTTTTGTAGACTGAAGTGTGGCTTCTTAATTGTTGCAGATACTGAAGTAAAATATTAGTAGTTTTCTAGCTCTTCTTTTATTCTATTCGGTTGCATTCTGTTAGGATCCTGGTTGAGTCCCACATTGTTAAAGTATGGGCTTAGCATGTGGGTTCATAACCACTTGGGCACCCTCTCCCTACAAGCTAGCTTTTGGGGATGAATTCTACCCCAAGGGTTGTAACAATTGGTATCAGAGCATGCTCCTCCTCAGGCCCACGTTGTGGAAGGGGTGACCTAGGGAGGGGCGACCTGGAAAGGCCAAAGTGGGCCATCCAGAGTGGGCCGCCGTGGACGTCGGTGTCGGAAGCGTGGTGGTATGTTAGGATCCTGGTTGAGTCCCACATTGCTAAAGTATGGGCTTAGCATGTGGGTTTATAACCACTTGGGCACCCTCTCCCTACAAGCTAGCTTTTGGGGATGAGTTCTACCTAAGGTTATAACACATTCCTAGTTGTATTTGCTTATCCTGTACTGATGTATCCTCCTAGTTTTTTACAGATAAACACTCTTTTTGCAAATGGAGACAAAAATTCACTAAGAAAGGCAGTTACAGAGAAGATGTACTCTGTATGTTTCTCTTCTCTTTTGCTTTCTCTCTTGCCTCAGCACTCAGTGGTGGAATTAACATATCTAAGTTCTGAGATATCTTAACCCTCTATTCAGGCACTAAAGAACGAAATCAAACAAAGAGAAACCATATGGAGTAAGGTCTACTGGGAAATGGTTGAACCAGTTGTTAAAATGCGAACTATGCGAGCTCGATTGGCAAGTGTTTCTTTTCAAAAGTTTATCATTACACTCCTTGCTCTATACTATATAAAAGCTTTCTCCTTACGTAGAAGATGTTATATCAGCTGTAGAGTGGCTACCTTGTTTTCTTGTTTTCATATAGGTTGAGAATGGTCTGTAGACGGGATTGGGAGCAGTTTATATTGCTTGTTACATATTAACTTACTGCATAACCTTAATGCTTTTCCTTTTTCCCCTACAGATCGGTGTTGATCGCAATGATGTCAATAGGGTGTTCATACAGCTTACAATTGAGTTTCTTACAAAGCAGGTAACTTGACTGTTTCTTTATGAATTGAGGCCTGAGGGGGAGTCTCTTCTTCCTGTGTTCCCAACTGGCGCTTTTTTTCATCGGTCTATATGTCTTCTTTTAGTTTCGAATAATATTTAACTGATAATAACTCCGCAATAATATTACATTTTGTTTGACAGAAGTTTGAAGCTTATGATTTAGACGGTAAAGTAGTTGCTGGAGACAAATCTAAGGAGGTATAATGGGTTTAACTTTCACCATTTTCTTAGATTTTTTATTTCAGCATCGCCTGAATAATTAAAGAATAATGAAACTGTTTAATGTATTGCTTCCTTTAAATTACTCTGAATTCAATTTTAAGCCTTCTACTTCTCTCCTAGTGACTGTTAATTCTTATCGTTCTCCCCAGGTTCTTGTAAAAGATATCTGGGTATTTGAGAAATCTCTCTTTCATACTGGAGCTTATTGGCGTCTTTGTGGGCGGATAATACTTTAAGCAAGCTATCCTGGACTGAAGACCTGCTCATGCTGGTGACAAATAAAGTTTTGTACACAACTTTGTAACATGCAGATATGAATAAATCTTTTATGAATTGAACATAGTTATCTGATTGATAGTTTAATTGATAGTTTGGTTTCTAACTTGAATGAGGAATATAATGACATGCAAATCGGCCATGATTTTTTGTTCTTTTGCAATTCATGACTATCTATTTTTAGGCAATTCGTATTGATGCCTCTCTCTTTGTATTCATTTGATGGTTACTAAGATGTGTTCCTCAAGGGAGGCTTATATATCAGTAGCTGTAATAGTAGTATTATTACTATTATTATTATTATTATGTTGTTGTATTTGGGAGTGTACCATCCTTTCAAGCAATGTCTACTTTCCTCTGTTGGAATATAATCCTTTGAAGTTTCGATTTATATTCATTGGTTTCTTTTCAAAAGAAAGGACTTCCTTACTTCTAAGTTTCCGTTTCATACCTTTAAGAATGGTATCTAGGTAAGAACATATTCATCCAAGTAATCTTATTTCCCCTGTTCCCATTAGAATACAAAAGCGTAAACGTTTATTTTACAAAAAAAGAAATCAGCAAATGGATGAAAAAGAAAACCAATCTTTAGGCATGTGCCACAGGCTCTTCAACTTCATCATGAAAAGCCTAGCTTTACAAGCCCTCAAGAAATCCACTTTGGGTTGTCCGACCAATCACAGTTCAGCCGCAGCACCCCCATCTGATGCCATTCATGGAGAAGGTGAGACCAAAAGTGACCAAATGGTGCACCCAACGGCTCAAGGATTAGAGAATACTAACACTTCAAAGAACTCAGATTCTACTTCTTCTCTTGGTTCTTTACTGCAAAATGATCAAGTAAAAGACGACGAGGAATTCCGACCGTCTCAAGGCATTGGGGATGCCGAGAGAGCAGAAGAGGAAATATCAGCTCAACCAAAGCCTCCAAAGAAAACGGTTAGTATAAATGACAGAGCTGAGGACATACACAAAATCATGAAGAAAAGGAAAAAGAGCAACTCCTTCGATAGGTCATACTCTTTAGAGAATGGTGAAGATGAACACAAGTCTTTAAGGTCAATTCTGAAGGTGGGTTCTAATCTAGATGACAACACAGAAGCTTATGTAAATCAGAACGGCAGTTGATGTTTTACAAGGGGCTGTTCTTGACTCTCTTTTCCTTTATTTATTTGTCTATTAATTCATTGTCAATATCCTCTAGATATTGATGCGTGTTCAGTTATATTTATCATAACTTATTGTTGTAACAACCAACATGAATGTTTCATAATGGAAAAGACATACAACTTGTTTCAAAAATTACTGATATCAAAAGGGTTTACCGAATTTGACCGAAGAACGGATTTTCCAACACTTCCTAGTTCAATTCGATCCATCGATTTGAGTGTTTTGAAAACAAAATTCTTATGTGCCAATGATCAATTATCAAAGATAATCAGACATGGCATAGCAGAAACATCAATACTCCCGCTATTTTTGCCAGGACTATCTGTGATTTGTGCTTGCAGAGAGATTTAACTGATGTCATAAAGCTTCAACAACCAATTCCCACCGGTATGAATCTCCATATTTTCCATATCCAATTGGGAAAAAAAGCCATACCTTAATTCAAGTGTATTGGTTTCAAGCTCTAGACAATTCCATCAGCAAGAAAAATGGCACTAACCTTCTATATATAAGTTTGGACTTAGACATAATATTATCATTATGCATAACTATATGCAATATAAGGAGACTAAACTGTGATATATTACACGTCAGAAATGATTGCACAAAACTTTCGGGTTTAGATTTTATCAGAAGAAAAAGCAAAGAATCTGAGCCAATTCTCTTCTTACAAGTTACATTAGGCTTTGGAAATGCCTTTGCGGTTAAGAGTTCTCTACAAGCAAAGGAAAGTTTATAGGATAAGACTGACACTAACTGTAAGCGTGCCTGAAAGATTTAAATGAAGCTTCTCTTTTAAGTTAAAAGGAACGGTGAGAAGAAGCTGAAAATAATAATAATAATAAATTAACTTTCTTTAAAACAAAACCTTTCTTTCAAGGAAAAATAACGAGGGAATGGAAGGAACCTTTTAGCCAACTACTACCTTATCACCAAATTATCTTCTGAAAAAAGTTAATAAATACATATTTGCCAACTTATTCTGCCAAAAAATTTTGGATATTAACTTTGGTAAGTATGTGTATTGTTACTCATTCAACAAATGGTTTCAATCATGCAATAATGCGAGAGAGTGATTAATTTGGGACGGGTTTGTTTCTTATTAGGATTTCTACTTGGTTTGTATTCGAGTTAAAATAGGATTCTATTTCACGATCTTATATATTTTAAAATGTTTTTTTTTTTTCGTAATTAGACTTCATAATATATTTTCATTTAGTCTTACACTTGAATTAGGATTCCTAACAAGATTATGATTCAATATCAGCCTATATATAGAAACAATGCTTCGCATCTTTAATTCATTCGAGTTTTTTTCTCATCAAAGTAAAAGTTCTAGCGTCTCTGAGTAGCTTTTCTTGTTCTTCTTCCACTTCTGTATATTCTCATCACAAATACCAGGTTGTTGCAGTACTTGTTGGACAAATGAATACGAGACAATACCTGCTCACACCATTTGGCATTTGCCAAAGAATCTTTGAGTGGATCATGCAAATTTTGGCGGCGCAAGCCTTGAAGACGGTGACTTTGGGCCAACCAGAGAGCAGATGTGGCTCATCATCAGCCAAGGCTAGTAGTACTAGTGCTCCTCCTCAGTAGCCAAAGAGCAAGGCCAATGGCTTTAAACAGCTTCTTCAAGCGACTTTCATGAAGCTCCTCCGTTGGGGAAAAAAAAAAGAAAAAGATTTGCAAGAAAAGTTGCATAAAGTAGAAAATACATTTGATTTTATATTAGTTGGAATTTGGTTATGATGTTTGTAAATTATATGTGAAAGAATTTAGTTGAGTATAAAATCTCGAGACTTTCGTATACTTTTGTGTGTTTTGTTTGTTTCTTCTTTCGTTTGTCATCCACGCCATGCAATCGAACATGTACTCCAATACATATTCATTAACATGTAATCCTTTATGATATAGAATATTATAGATCTAGCTGTGGAAATTCTGCCAACTGTAGGACAATCAAAGAAAGACAACGACAATTAACCACGAAAAACGCGTTGTTCATAAAAAGCGTTGACAATAAATTTGAAAACGACAAGAACCCGGAAAACGACAGAAATATTTAGACAATCGTTGTCAATTATGAAACGACAATAACTGGGAAAACGCCATAACCTTAAAAGCATCAGCAGCAGAAAACGACATAACCTATAGGAACGACAATATTGACGTGAAACGACAACACAAAAAGGGCAACTTGGGTAAATCTGGAAAACGACATGGCTCCTGTAAACGACGGCAATTTTGGAACTCAGTAGAAATCTACGCCCAATCTCTTTTACAATTTTTCTGATAAGCACCTTTGTTTCCAGAAAATAAAAAACACTACTACAAGATCTGTATTACTGTCATGCTCATCCAACTAGAATTCACTCAAGAAAACATCTTTTTTACTTTTTGCTTTACACTTCCTTTTACAATTATTCATGCATAATCATAATTACGCGAGCAATATTTTTAGTTTCTAATTAATTAATTAAAAGGGTTATTTGAACATTTCATGTTTTAAAAATTGCCTCAAAATACTTAAAAGATGTTTAAACTTAAAGGTACTTATTTAATATTATATAATATATAAAATAAATGTTTTAATATTACAATGAGTATTAAAATGATTTTTATCCCCAAGTTTTATCATGGCAGCGTTATGCCGAGGATGTTGCGGCTCAAAAACCTTGGGTTTTTACACTAAAAAAGAAAAAAGGAAAAAGGAGGCTCCAAAAAATTATAAAGAAACCAATAAAAAAAGATATCCATGCACCTTTTTTATTTGCTGAAATGATATTCATGCCCCTTAAAATAAAAGTTAAGGTACTTGTTTTCAAAGCTTAGATGGTATCAAAATTACAATAAAATAATAAAATATAAAATTTTAAGGTTGCAAAACACCGCTCCCTACCCTATTGGTTGAGTTTTTTTTTTTTTTTTCTCTCCATATTCCAACAATGAATTCTCAAAATTTACTAAAAAAAAATTCCATAAAAAAATTACTAAAAAAATAGTTTTAAAATTCCGTTTTTATATTCCGTGCAGCTATGTTTTAGATTAATAAAGCTTCTCTTGATGGTGACTAAAAGGGTTAAAATGGGTGTTGCCTACTCCTCCTGCTCTTGTTCCACAATCCCCAACGACACCCTCTACTCAAATTCCATCACCTCTGCTTTCTCTTCCGC